GGAGTGTCTTTGTCTCTTTCTTAACTCTTAAAAAACCCTCACTATTAGTTTCTAGAATCGACTTTCTATTAACCTCGGCAGAGGAATATGAATGCGTTGTTTTCCTGTTCAGCAATCGCGAAGTTGTTAAGCAGCATACATTTACTTCCATAGAGAAACACAATACAGTACAACAGTAGCTGACGTTTCGGCAGTATCGCCTTCTTCAGAGCCTGGAAGGGTATACTGATATACAATCTACTAGGCCAAACGATTCAATAACACTTACAAAAGACGAAAAACTCTATGGCAATTACATGATCAACAGCTTCTCGAAACACTCACCTTTTTCGTGACTTCCAATGAGGAAGATTAGAACAGCTGATTATAGTCGCATATGGTTGACGACTGCACCATGCCACACCAGAAATTGATGCGAACATACGGGGTCAGGTAACATATGATCTCTGGGCTTTCCTCCCTGCCATTCATTGTGAGGTTTTTGGCATTTATCCAAAAAGCCTTAAGAAATTTCCACGCTGGTGTTTTAGTCTCCTGTGCGAGGATATTGACTTTAACTCTCACGACCGACTTTCTATTAACCTCGGCATTGATCAAGTAATTCTTCGTAATTTTTTTTTGAGCAAAAGCGAGGTGTTATTATTCTTTATTCACGAATAAGCTGACGTTTCGGCGGATTTCGCCATCCTCAGAGCCGCTTTCTATGAGGTTTCCACTAAGTATGTCACGTAGAGACCAAGCGCACAGAAATCACATGGAAGCATAATGTGCCCCTCCCATCAGAATAGCAGTCTTATATACTGCCCTGTATCACGGGTGATAATGAGGCATTCTTCCCTACGGTTCATTTTCGGAATTCTGGAATTAATCCAGAACGCCTCGAAAGTTTTGCGCGCTCGTGTTCTTGATTCGTGTGCGAGGATCGTGACACATACTTCAAAGTCCTCCCCGTTATGTCTCTGAGTCCTATGCGTGCCTAGCGGGGTGTTTGGTCTGTTTGCCGGCTAGGTGTTCTTTTATGCGGACACAGAGGGGTCTGCCCGTTTCGCCAATGTATTCATCTCCGCACGTCTTACAGGAGATCAGATAAACTATGCCCGACCTCATGCAATCACCGTCTCTACCACTGGGGCAAATTATGCAATTTTGAGTTGCACACAAACGGTCATATAGGCGGTTACGAACTAGATGGCGCTTAAGATTACTCGGTGGTATTTCAACTCCGTTTACCGAATTCTCTAAACTTGCCCTTCTTAAACAGCGTTTTATAGCTAGAGGGTGATAGGTGACAGGATAAATGGGACCCTTCTATCGCTAGAGTTGTCGTTTGGAGGCCTAGGATTTTCCCTACACCTATCCTGAGCTACAGTTTCGTAGCCATTAGAAATCGCTATTTGCCGAGCCAGTTCAGAGACTCCTCTTTCTGCTGTCTTCTTGTGCACACGCTGGTAGCTGTTCGAAACATGTTTCTTATAAGCGCTCTTTTTGTGTGAGAGCCGTTAGAGGAGAGGTAATGAATCAAGGTTTTTTGCTACTTGGCTTTCGGTACCACTTTGTAATGTACCCATTTTCTGACAGGTGAATTTGGACGCTCAGGACACCTTGGACATAAATGCAATGGCAGGGCTTGGAGCCAGTCGTTGTCCCATTGCCAACCCTCTCATTTGAGCGTAGTACTTTCTGGACCATCTGAAGATTGAGCAGCTCAAGCGTTCTTTTAAGAGTGCCATCAAGTGCTCTATCTTGAAGCCATACATGTTTATTTCTCCTTCGTGTTGTGTAAAGTGTTCGAATATGGCTTGCATTGCGGAGTCATTCGACACGTTTGTATAAAGGGCGGTAACGTCGAAGGACTCCATCACGTACGTCTATTGACTTTAACTTCAAAATCGTCTCCGCTATGTTTTTGTATCCTATGCGTGCCTAGCGGAGTACTTCGTCTTTGTTTTCGTTTGCCATCTAGGTGTTCTTTTATGCGGATACATAAAGGCCTGCCCGTTTCGCCAATATATTCGTCTCCGCAAGTACCACAAGAGATCAGGTATATCGTACCTGAACTCATGCAATCACTATCCCTGCCGTAAGGGTAAATTACGCAGTTTGTTTTTCACATAGACGGTCATACAAGCGGTTACGAACTGAGGGCGTAGAGGATCCGGTGGTATTTCAACTATCGCTACCGATTCCTCTAGACCTAACCTTTTCAGGCACTGTTTTATAGCTATGCTTACTTCATCGCTGATAAAGGGCAACAGACGATTTTGAAGTTAATATCAATGTCCTCGCGCAGGAATCTAAAACACCAACGCGCAAACTTCTTGAGGCTTTTTGGATAAATACCAAAACCTCACAATGAATAGCAGGGAGGAACGCCCAGAGGTCACACGCGACTTGGCCCCGTATCTTCAGATCAATTTCTGATGTCGGATGGTGCAGTCGTCAACCATATGCGACTATAATCAGCTGTTCTGATCTTCCTCATTCGAGGTCACGAAAAAGGTGAGTGTTTCGAGAAGCTGTTGATCATGTAATTACCATAGAGTTTTTCGTTTTTTGTGTTATTGAAGCTTTTGGCCTAGTAGATTGTATATCAGTATAGCCTTCCAGGCTCTGAAGAAGGCGATTCTGCCAAAACGTCGGCTACTGTTGTATTGTATTGTGTGTTTTTCTATGGAAGTAAATGTATGCTGTATAACAACCTCGCGATTGCTGAACAAGAAAACAAGCCTCACTATTATTTATCTGTTTCTTTTCACACTAACTTTATTCTTGTTTGTTCCTGATTTTCTATCTCTCTTATAATTACCACTATCTTAAGGCATCGCACGCCTTGGCGTTCTTCACAGCCTAAGTGCTAACAGTTTAGTGTCCAATTCATTTCACCACACCCACGCATTTTGTCGCGTGGACTAGTTTTTGACCAATGTATTTACCATAGGGAAGACATTATGAAGAGACCAAGTTGATGGAGTCGAAATTCCTGGGTGGTTTTCCTTTTGAAAAATAGGCACATTGGAAGATTTTAACTACACTTAAACTTATTTCTCATTCTTTTTAGGGCAAAATAATAGGAAATCATCTTAGTGTATAAGCACTATACCGCCAAAGGTATCAAATTAAACACAGGGGGCTCATCCTTGAGAGTCACCCTACCGTAGAAAGGATTTAACAAACTGTTCACTTATCCAGATAGAAGTAAGTCTGTTTTCTGTACCAGAAAATTGCTGATGTGGTGGAAAAAACCTGGTCGTGTGGTAGCAAACCTTCCTCTAATCCACAAAGATCCTGTCTGTGATGTGAATATTGAAACTCCCGTACACAAGCATCTCGTATTTTTGAATACTTAGTTGGGTACATGGATGGCTAGTCTTCATTAGTTGTGCCGGCACCAGCATTTCCATTTGGCTGACACTTTATTGGTCTAGCCATTGTGGCTCATTGGAGTTCTCGGGGTCAGCCAGGCCAACGTCTGCCCGGGTCGTCACCACCACGAGCAGTCACCGGCCTGCCCTTGTGGATCAGAGAGAGATTTGTCATCATGAGAATAGTTCGATATTAGGACGGTGGTGGATCCTGGTTTTGGTTTACTCTTAGCTGTGCTTCTGGATGGGAATCTTCGACTCCTTCTCATCTTAGGAGGCACTATTGGGAGAATAGATCCCCGCTGTTCATCGCAAACTGACACCCAGGAACACCTCCAAGCCACGATAAGTCGCCAAGCCGTTGGGAGGCTCGAAATTTCCGAAAATACGGAAAACTTGTCCAACCAGTGAAGTAGAATATAAATAGAAATTATGTTGGAGTCGACATGATTCTTATTGGGCCAAATGAGGAAATGGGCCAGTTAATTGTCAAAGTATTGGTTAAGAAGTTTCATGGCATGCGGAGAATGGAGGGTTCATAAATTATGATTAGATATTAACTCAAAAGTTCTGTTTGAAGTCAACGAAAGGCTCTAGAGGTGTATGCACTAGCGTTCGAGAAGCGCGTGTTACGCAGTGCTTAGAGGTGCGCTCCACGACATCCCGGATCGGTCACTGGTTTGATCTGGCGCTGTGGTCTCACCGAGTTTTCCATGTTCCTATGGTTGGAAAATTAGTACGACGATTTTCTGGGACGACAAAAACACGCTCTTGATACATCGGTAGGTTGCCGCAGGTCAGTCTTGTATAGGCCAAAAAAAAAGCACTTCGATGCGCAGTTAGGTGGAATACATGACACATCTCTAAGAAACTGATCAACTCCGAACGCTCAATCCTTTATTTATGGTTCAGCGGAGCTCATGTGCATTATTCTGTGAGCATTCGAATGAATAAAAAAAACAAATTAAGCGGAATTGAATGCTAAAGAAGTGCTTCATAAATGTGAATTAGTGTCTCGTAGAGAAAGTGAACTGCTAATTTCTGCGACTTCGTGAATTTCATAATACCATTTATAACGGATAAGGATAAAAAAGGGATGTCGGCGTTGATCAGTCCCTGAGGAATACGCCACGCATTCGACTTGATTAAGTATCGTTGGAGGTGATTGAATGCATATCTGGCCTTTACAGTGACTTGCGGTGGCCTACCGATGTATCGAGTCAGTGCTGCTATCCTTCCAGACAAGTCTGGTATCAATTTGCCGACCCCAAGTGATGAAAGGCTTGGTGGCCCACGGGCGTGGAGATTGGTCCCATGTGTGTGTCACAGGGCGCCTCCACCACTGCGGCACATGCGCCCTTTATAATAACAATATAACTTTTTCGATCAGTTATGTTGGATACAATTTTAAAACATTTGAGATAAAACCGTTTTAATGACTTTGAGCCTTCTACGTTTTTATTCGAGAAGAATCATGGTATTCTATTGGATATAACAACACCGACCTTTCTCTGGATGATCGAAATGCTGAGATTTAGACTGTTTTTAAGCTTGTGTTTATAGCACAAGAGATTTTTTTCATGCGATAAAATTGTGCATTAACGCATTCGCATTTCGTTTTTGCCTTCTTTTCTCTGAATGGACAAATATGAGCTGGCGGACGTGGTGATACTCACCTGGGTCTTTGACCTCTTCATTGCTGTGTCAATCCGACAGTGTCAGAATAGCGCAGCATTACCCCATCAACCGATTATTTCGGTTCAGTACTTATTCAAAGTTATCCTGGACCGCGACCTAATTGCACTCAACTGTGGTGTTGTCGTGCTAGTAGTGAAAAAAATGGAACAGACATGGAATAATTTAGGGATAATCCGATGTGAGTGTCGTTGATGAGACATTGGGAAATAGAATCAATCCTACTTTTAATGAAAGAATTAAGACCACTATTGCAAATACTACTAAATCATGAATAGAGGGTAGGTGTTATTCAATAATATGGATAGTATCGAATAACAGAGTTACAAATACAAACAAAAATGCCAATGGAAGTGATCCGAACTTGGCGCATGAAGCGTAGAAGTTAAGCATGCCCCTAGTGCGCACAGGAACATTGGTTGGATCCCGTGCTCTGCACCAACGCACTTCTCCATTCCTCAAGCAAATCGCTGTCAAATTTGCTCAAGGGGATAAAAGATTGATTTGATACATCGATAGAGCGAGGAAAGCATTTGCTCCAAATATCCAGTCATCACTTCAAATAGAGAAGGAGGCATGGCGGATCCTTAGAGAGAATGACCAACGCCAAACGCCTTATTCTTGGCAATCAATCTGAAACTGTAAGTGGAAATGAAACATTGAAAGAGGGATCTCTTCTCGAATAAGTACACGCTCTAACAAGTGGTCATAGAATAGACAGGATTCTTTATGACATCTGAGAGAGTGTTCCACTAGATTTTGATCCCGTCTAACACGTGAGAGAATCATAAACGTTGACTGAATCTATCGAACTGCTTTCGTTTGAAAGAAAAAGTAAAGCCCTAAAACCTCATCGAAACATCCAGTATCATTGGAGGACAACGAACATTTGTTTGCTAGAATTTTGTGGCTGATATTGAAATAAATGTGTTGTAATTCTATGGCTTTTTATCAGATCGACGACCCCGATCTCGCAGGTCTGCCAACTCTTGGGATCATTATGTTGAGGTTATTATTACTAGTTACTATTTTTATTATTGCTGCAAAGGAATCGGGGTGAATTTTTATTTGTATACCTCAAATATTAGTCGCTGACGACGTGGTGTTATTTCAGGTCCTGGTTGTGGCGGATTCGAAAATGCACGAGTATCACGAACTCAATCTCGAAGCTTATATACTTACCCTATTTTCTACTGTGAGTTTTTTGTCAGATTTTCGAATCCTTGAGAGCTTTGTTCGCTTTTGACGTCTGTGATTGTTATTGGAGCTGTTGCAGGTAGCGTCTATTTATCGGCACCAGTCGTTGCGAGCATCCATCAACGTCGTCGTGGTGAAGATCATCATTCTAAAGCACGAAAATGTTTGTGTTTTACCGAAAAGCTTTCTGACCACCATCGCTACTGCGCAGTGAAATGTACTTTTAATATCAATACTTCGTCCATATGAACACGTGGTGACGGAAATCACTTATAAACTTTTCTCGAGATGTTTTTATTTCGTTCTGTTTATTCAAACGAATAGACGCTTGTTCTTTGTTCTTCGTGTTCTCCGTAAATCACAGCGTCTTCAACGACTTGGGTCGTGTTGAAGTGACGGCCGATCTTTCCTAAACAATACCTCTCAGTGAATGCTCTAGTTAAGGCCGGTCCGCATGTCACATCCAACGCGCAAGACACTCTACAACAGTTTTGTCGATGGCAACAGTTGTACAACGACGGCGACGATGAAAGTCCTAATCATCACGACGTGGCTATCCTACTAACACGAGGAGACATTTGCAGGTCAGCAATACTAGTACTGACCAGTTGCCAGCTTGGATGCGTAGACTTCAAGATTGAATATAACCACATTATATGTGCAATCAATGCGCATCGTCTCCAGCGTGTTAACAAAAGAATATTTTGTGTCATGGCGCAAATTTCTCCCGTGGTCTTTTTACTCTACGCTTAACTTTTCGCTTTCTTCAGTTTTTCTTTGGCAGTAAAACTGATGGCGAAGAAGGTTAAATTTGCATGCAGAAGGTTTCAACAAATTTTTCTAAGTACTCAAAACGTAAGAATGACAATGTCTATCGAAATAACAGCATTGTTATCTACTTTGTTGTTCAATTACTGAAGTGGGTGTTTTCGATGAGAAAAACCCGGAAGGCTTCACCGATGGTATATTTGCGCGAGTGTTTTAGTTTTCCCTTAAACTACGTCGCAATAGTTTCAAAAGTGAAGGCTAAGGAAATCTTGGTCGGTTAATACTTAGTCATGTTTCCAAAATTACAAAACTGAGTAAAACAGGGAATTACAGAGCACCGGGCAAATGCGACACATTGGGACTGGCCGAGTTGGGCACGATGTGCGATGCTGGAAAGAGCTGTGCCATCATCGAAGACAACGGACTCAGCGCTGCGTTCACCATCGCTCACGAACTGGGCCACATGTACTGATGCTCTATTAACTTATGGAAGTTTTCGTTCCTAAAATGCTACATCACTTTACATGAAAATCAACAGACACATTATCCACAGAGTCATTTAGTCTTGAATCCAAGAAAAAGCACTCCATAGCAGTTATGCATCATTTCCTTTCACTAGTATACCTCTGATACTCTGCAGCAAATCATCACTTCTATTAAGAACTATTTATTTTGTAGAACAGATACATAGAAAGATCTTTGCAGCAGTTGATACTTGTAGGGAAAAAAACTTCTTTCTCTAAATCATAATGTTGCTGTATCCACTGAGCGGGTGACACTTTCAGCTTTAACATTCCTCACGACGACGAGCGAAAATGTGCGCAATACATGCAATTGGTCAAGCACAACTTCCATATCATGGCTCCCACACTCGAGTACAACACACATCCATGGAGTTGGAGCACTTGCTCGAGCAATATGCTTGAACGATTTCTTGAGTTAGTTGAGTTTCTCCGTTAAGAAATCTGTTGCAATCACTTTATGTCAAGCTCTGTTTCGTAATACGACAAGTCCAGAGTTGTCATGATGTACAATATAACAGATAAATGAAGGTGTGCTAAGTGGTAGAGAAAAGTACAGGTAAGAGAGTCGAGTGGCAGATGGAACTTCTGAATAGGTCGCAAAGGTTTTTGAAGTAGAAGAAGAAGGGTTAGCAACATGATAAGTAATGTAGTTGTAAAAGCACGTTACTTAGAACATGTTATACATAAAGAGTGCTCGGGTGTTCCTGCAGTGTAAAGTACTCTATGTAAGTGTTCCTGCCAAGAAGGGAGCGCCGAGGCGGTCACGGCGATCTAAACCGTAGTGATACCTGCTCCCGATGAGTACGATTGTGTAAGTCACATTATCTGACGAGGGCTGCGCATGTGTTCTAAGCTGCACTTGGTTCCCTGACTGGAGAGATTTCCTCTCTCATTTATGTCGCATAACTAGAAATAATGAAGCTATATGAATACTGCACTATTTTCACCCGTTACCTGGAAAAAACTAGTAGAAGATGCTTAGCATTCCTACAGTTAATTTAGCATGAAATAAAAGAGTGTTTTATTTCTCCTATCAGAATTTGATTAAATATATGTTTCTAGCAACAACCGTGGGCAGATTCAGTGTTTGTTCGATCAGCCTGTTCAAAGGAAATACTATGAACAGCTGTTTGAAGATGAAGCTCCTGGCAGGAAATATGACGTCAGCCAACAGTGTAAATTTGTCTTTGGACCACAATCAGAACTATGTCCGTATATGGTAAGAAGGAAAGCAAATAGGTCCTATTTAATAAATAAATTTAATTTAAGTTAATGTTTAGTGAATTTCATTCTGAACCGAAATTTAAACATTATCCATCCTTGTTTTTACTTACCAGTTTGTATTATTGAAGTTATTCTAAGCATACATATTGATGGTACATGTATTCCAATCGTTCCACTGCTAAAATCCCTTACATCTTTCGATTAGGAGAACGCGTGCTGATTCAGGAAGCGCGGCTTGATTACTATTAATAACACTGAATAGCAAAATACTTACCCCTTAATGCCTATGAGAGGCGCATGTGACGTGTGGATAGAAGTATTCTGCATTGCACACAGTTGCTGGCTGTATCCTGCCCTCCGAGCTAACTGAAATCGTCATCCCTGGAAGGTCCGCAAATTGGGCCCAGAGTTGTCTGGTTAGGCAGACCACTGAGTTCATACATCGATGGCTGGTTGCAAGTTATTGGGCTTAATGTGCATTCAGTAGCCTCTACGTTTCTTAATGAAGTAGTGAGAATGCACAGGAGGAGACTAATCAACACCAAACCTTTATCTTTCTCATCTTTGGTGCTCATTGTAGGAAGCTGTGCCGTATTTCTTCGAAGGTTAGCGGTTTTACTTGCATTATTCTTGCAATTTCAGCCGACGTGCCGACGTTTGTGGTGCGCGACATACTACGGTAGTCAGATGGGCTGTCGTACGCAGCATATGCCTTGGGCCGATGGCACTCCTTGTGACAAGACAGGCCGAATGGTTTGTGTCTTTTTCCTTTATTTTTAAATGTGAGCTCGAATAACAAGGAAGGTGGCTTCAGTCGAAAAGTCGTAAAGTTAACTAAATTTTCTGAGCAGAAATTGGTGCTCTCTCGCGAGAAGAAACTTTTAGATATCATCACTGCTGAGCAGTAAATCACTCACTATATCACTCTAAATCTTCAATTATCTAATTCAATTTGTTGAACGTCAACGATGAGAAACCATTTCTTTCTTGGATCTCTATAAGAAGGTCGGAAGCCAAGTAAGAGAAAAAACATGAAGGCATTTTTGATCCAGCACATCTTTCAATCATAAGAAGAGAGTCTATTCAGAAATTTATAAATCATGGGCAGTATAATTTGGGACTATAGTCGAGGATAAATAAATGAGGGTAGAATTTACTTACTAAGTTGGATATTTGGATGGACCTTCTTCAATGGTGAAGGCCTCAGCATAATTTCCATTGGTTTTCTTCCACGCAACCGTCGTCTATGATGATGATGTATTTCGAAAGTGATGACATTGGAAGGCACATTCCGTAATATAGAAATCGTTTACCCCCCCAACGGTTTACCACCGCATCGGGGCTGGAAGGTGTACCTTAGTGTCGGACTGCGATGTACAACAGAGGGATTCATCTTCTCAACAGGTTTTCCTATCTGACAAAGAGTCCGGCGCCTCCATTAGGTAGCCCAACTAAGAGTAAACCAATACTAGGACCTACCACCACCCTGATATATAACTAGTCGCATGGTGGTAAATCTTCTGATCCATAAGGACGGCGATTGCCTGTGGAGGTGACGACCTGGGACAGATTTCGGCTAGGCTAACCTTGTGACTCCAGGGAATCACAATGCCTAAACCAGCAAAACTCCGAAAAAGTGGAAATTATACTGGGGGCCGCAGAACCAGTAAGAGCGGTTCAAATAAGTATCAGTTCAATAGTGTCAGATTTCAGCTCTTTATTCCACTTTTTTTCGAATCTTTACTTTGTGATTTCTTCCAATCTACGAGATTAAACAAACATGCGGTGAAGACATATGACATTCTAATCGTGTTAGAATGTCACGTATTTCGACCTGCCGCTAAAATGGTCAACAATTTTGGGTCTTCAATTGCCAAGCGACGTAAATAATGTATGTATTACTGGGAAGGGATGGTTAACATTGGCCCATCTGTTTTCACCATCGATCTATATTCTCCTTGATCACGAAGATGTGATAGGTTTCGAGCTCCGCATTCCACTTATCGTTATAAGTGCCTTTAAATTTCGGAAAATACAGTTCAGTCACTCTGTGGGTGGTGCTCAGATTTTTTTGACGTGACTGAAGTACGAGCCACATTTCTGCTGCATAACAGAGCTCTAGGAGGACTGTTGAATCGAAAGGATGCGCTGAGTTTTGAGTTCGTTAGTTGGTCGGTGCCTTCTTTGAGATGCCCGAATGAAGCCCATGTTGTTCTCCTTCTTCTGTCTAATTCCTCCTTCTTGTTGTTTTCCATCTTCATTGAGCGTCTATAGTACACGTAAGAGGTGATCTCCGTAATCAGAGAGCCATCCTGTTCGATTTGTTCGCCTTCGCACCATGGGTTCCTTGTGTACTGGATCTTCATCCTATTTATGCGCAGTTCAGTCTCTTTTCCCACTTCGCTGAGTCTATTCAACAGGTCTCTGCTTCACTAGTACTCTTCGAAAAGATGGGGATGTCATCTGCGAAGCTAAGATTTGATAGGTGTTTTACGTCAATACATATGCCCTTCTTATCGCAAATGAGTGATCTCGTTGTACACTGCAGTGCAGCACTAAACAGCTTTGGCGATATTATGTGACCATGCCGAACAGCTTTATCTATGTGTATGCAGAAGGGTCGGGTGAAAATAGTCAGCTAGTGTTCATATATAGGTCGGGCTCACTCGGCAAGCGCTGATAGGATTGCATTCTTTTTGATGCTGTTAAACGCTTTCTCGTTAGTCAATAAAAGTTAGTACAAGGGGCAGATGATACTCCCGATAGACTTCTACCACCGGTGACACCGTCTGCATGTGGTTTGTACACCAGAAGGCATGTTGGAACTTTGCTTGTCCATATGGTTTTACCTCATCCAAGGCCTTCGATATGCGCAAAAAGATAATCTTCGTAACAGCTTATTGGGTATGCTCAACATTCATATTGGACGGTATTTACGACTACTCCATCAGTTACCTTTCTTGGGTAAGATAGCCATGTGCGACGTCCCCTCCTGGTCTGGGTCTTCGTCTCCTTGAAGGTGAGAGGTCATGTGGCTTGTGAGAAATATGTGTATACACTGCCTGTGCCTGGCTATATGTACACACTGTATACATATATGTATACAATATACACTGCCTTCGGTTCTAAAAGAATTGGCGGTGATGTTATCGAATGCTGGAGCTGTGCTCCTCTTTATGCTTTCTATCGCAATTCGAACTTAAGGTGGTAGAGTTCCGGGCAGTTTTTCGGCAGGAGGATTTCGAGGTTCAAGACGCGAGTTGTGGAGCGGAAATCATTGTGCTAGAGAACCATCCAATTATCAATTTCATATCATGGTGGGATTTAATGTTAGTCACATGTCCGTTCATCAAGGTGGATAGCGGAACATTACAATGCAGAGATCCCGACGGGACTTCTTCAGACTGGATCGCTTTTGAACTGCTTCCAATAACTTTTCCTGCCTGTCCCGATGTAAATCTTCTTGTAAAGATCTTCTACAGCTGGCATTTATTGTCAGTCGTGTTATATGTGTTGCAGCAGGATCAAGCTTGAATTTCCGTCCCTTTTAGAGAAATTTCTTAATGATGATGTAGGAACGGTGTGAATTTCTTGTTCGAGGCGAGTTCGGCACAAGTTTTAACTCCTTCGACAAACAGCTTCTAATCCTTGGTCGGCTTGGCTCTTTTATCTACCATTCATGTGATGAGGCTATTTTACTGAAGATATCCTCATAACACACGACTTGTTTCGTTTTTTTTTGAATTATGACAGGAGTACTTTTCCAGCTTCTGGCTGAATCGAATCTTCACCCGGAGAAGGCGGTAATAGGATCCGGTACACATTTTAGGTACTACTGCGATGTTACAGAGGTGCCATTTTCTGTTAGTGAGGATATGGTCGGTCTTCGCTTGAGTCATACAGTTAGGAGACTCCCACGTTCATAGGCGATTTTCTCTGTTTTCAAAAAAGGAGTTTCCATTAAAGAAACGTGCTGCAAGAGAGAGTCCTGCAGAATTTCGTATCCATTTTCACTAGCTATTCCTAATCTATCATTGAAATATCCAACAACGAAGGACTGTTAGCAGAGGATTATTTCTTCCCACTAGCTTAGAGCAGTCCGGTTTGATCTCATAAACTGTACAAGTTGGTGAGCAACAGTTAATGATACTGATTACGCGCAAGCTAGTTATGAAGAATGGCTAAAAACGTTGATGCACTTCATATGGGATTCCTAGATTAGAAATAGCTACTTGTACGACAAAGCCAACACCTCCGACATTTCATAACAGGAATTTTCTTCCATGAATGACAGGTAATTGGTGTTTGTCGATCTTCCCGCTTTTCATCTCTTTTAGGGTGACCACATAGAATTTTATGCATCCAGCGACCTAAAGCGCGTAAAAGTCGGCATCTGGAGTTAGTTATAGGTGCAGAGCGAGAAGCAATTTCTGTGGTTGCCGTAGGCTTTTTCTTTTGTCCATTCCAATCAAATCCTGTACGGTCCTAGATTTAATCCTCTCACCGGTTGTCTCGTCGCAGAACGTCTTAGAGAGGAGTGTCCGGTGTGGGCGTATTGAGGCTGGTTTAGACAGTGTAGTTGCATGAATTCTCGATGTCAGCCTAGCCGAATCCCTTCTCAGGTAGTTACCACCACAAGCAATTCCTTATGGAGAGATTTACGGACTTGCGACAACTTTCGTAACAGACTGCGCTGATTCCTGGTATGGGTTTACTCTTAGCTGGACTTTCGTATAGAAATTTCGGTTTTTTCAGTTAGAAGACGCTACTGGTGATGACCATCTTGTTGTTCATGATAGTCCGACACCCAGGAAAGTATGATTTGTTCTTTTAGCGTTAAATTGCCGGTCGTATCGTTCTTGGATAATATGGAAACACAAAATGGGATTTGGAATTTTTCAAGACATAATATTCCATTACTTCTCAAATTACTGTGTTTTTAATAACCTAATTTCTTTAAAGCCTGGCAAACGTTATTTTTCCAGATGTTCGCTGGCTGAAATATTTGAATAGAGGAGTCTTCTCCAGATGCTACATAGATATTTTAAAATGGTGTTCCAGATTCAGTACATAGTGCAAGGCTTTTTTCTCATAACTCGTCATCAGATCTAGTGTGTGGCGTGCATTACTAACGCTCCGTTCGGTTTCTCCACATTCATCACCCATAAAGGTCTTCAAACATTTCCCATGCTGCTTGAGGATTCCTTCTTCATTATGGCTGCTGTAGAATGCTGGTCGAGACAATTCACTTTGCAATCTTGGAGATAGCCGGCATTTCCACGTGAATTGGAGGAGAGCGTTAGGCCGGGGATCGAACTAGCGCCGTTGCTTCTTCATCGACGCCATCACCGACCAACGCGCTATCGCCATCCGTAGTGCAAGGTTTAGCGCTCAGAACTGAAAATATATGCTGAAGCCCTATTCAACTATTTAACCGCTTCAGAAAATGAATGCGGCGAAGTATCCATTTAAAATTGACTACTGTCATAATCTTACCTTTCCTCTCTTATTACACATGCTCAAATACGGTTCGGTTTTCAGCAATGTCATCGTGGTGAGTGCGTGTCAATTGGAGCTGAACATCGGGCCAAGGTGGATGGTGGTTGGGGCGAGTGGCGGATGTGGGAGACGTGCAGTCGCACTTGCGGTGGAGGAGTCCAGAGAGCTCTGCGAGACTGTGATAGTCCCAAGTAAGTCGCCGATAGAAAGAGAGAGGAAGAGTGAGAGGTTAAACATTTGCAATGAAAGTGGAGTGCGAGTGTGACGTAAAAAAACGATTCTATGTGGGGAAAAAAATGTATTCTTCGTTATTTCCATATTCTATTAACTCTCGGCGTTGATCAATAATGCACTGTTTTCTTTATGCGAATGGCGACCTCGTTCCTGCACATCAAGAAAATAGTGGACCATTGCTCGTTACTTTTTCCTCAACGTGTGCAATTTTAATACTCATGAGGCATGAAGAGTTACAACCGTTGACTGAAGATAGCGATAGTTTACAGTAGAATGTCCGCACACTCAGCGTTTATCTCTCGAATCGAGTGGAGTTGTGAAAAATCGTTCACGCTGAATATTCGAAAGAGTATCATCTGTATTAGCTTAATACCGTTAGTCACGTAGCAACTCTAGCGTACACCAGCGAAATTTCCATTCGTTCTTGTGTGAGAGAGGTACCCAGTGAAATCCGTTTTCTAAGAAACAGTGAACTAAGCAGCCCTACCCGATAAAGGGTAAAGAATAAAGCATCTAACGTTGTTCAATCCCTGAGGGATGCGCCATCCACTTCATCGAGTATCATAGAGGTAGAGGTGGTTGAATGCAAATCTGTTTGCGGCCAATGACTTGCAGTGGCTTGCCAGTGTATCAGCCAGGTGTTTTTATCCTTTAGAGCAAAACCTTCTATCACCAGGTTTGGGCGCACAGTTGGTCTTTCACGCAGGATCGAACCAATGACCGCGTGTATGGTAGGGCAACCATAACCAGTGCGCTATGTACGCTTTTTTTCATACTACCGTTAGCGAGAAGTTAGTATTATGTAGTTTTCATATAACGTTATGGCATAGATTTATCCTTAGGTGAGTTCAGCATCGATGTTCTTCTTAGCTGGGATGACTGATGAACCACTTGCTGCAGCATCGCAGGTCGGCGAAACTCCGCAATGATGAAGCGATTAACTATTGAAGGGCGATTAAACATATGGTCGTTAATTAATTGCCTAGTTCCAACTTCACTTTTCCTCATTACAATGAACCTTTCTGTCTTGTTGTACACACATAAAAGAAATAACTCCACAGCTGCACACTGAAATGCTTTAAATCTAGTGGGGAAACAAACGATCTGATGTAGGCCAGAAGACATTAGCCACTTTAACTAACACTCATTATGTATGAATTAACACAGAATAGTTTTAATGTTCAAGATTTTCAGACCTGCAAACGGAGGCAAGTACTGCGTCGGTCAACGAGAACGCTATCGCTCGTGCAATGTGGCTGATTGTCCATGGGACACTCCGGGTTTCCGCGAAGTTCAGTGTGCAGAGTTCAACAACAAGGTGTGAAGTTCAGTAACAAGGCATATGAATATAACTGATACTATGCTTGCCACAGGCTTTCTTATTTGCTTGTTAGGTCACCGAGGCATGAGTGTCGACATTAAATTCTTTGTATCAGTGACATGCTGTGTGTATGAATGACCGTACTTCAGTATGTCATTAGCACTACACGGAGTAAAATAGCGAATCACAGCAAGGACAGTCAAGACATGAGTGAAACACAGTGTCGCACTTTGTCCGCCATTACTCCAGATCTTTTAAGTTTTCTAATAGATTCATGATGTTTTTCCAAGCGCATAGTTTGTCTGTTCACATAACATCCATTGCTTTTCGTACTAAATGTTGCTGTGAAACATCACTCTCACAAATGTCTTGATCGTCTTCGCTTGTGTTGAAGTACAAATGTGGATTTGCTTCTACAATAACTTCTACTTGTACTACCAATACACAAATGAGTGTCCTGTCCTTTCCCAAGAATTCTCTGTTAACTGATTGACCTTGCAGAAATGGAAATCTGGCTTTGACCAGGAGCGTGGGTCATGCCGGTAAGCGTGTGTCCGTGAGCATATCTAGACAATGCGCTATTACCATGCAACATCAATCTTTTTGTACTTCAGGATGTTGGTATTCATGGAATTCCCACGAGAACCACATGGGTTCCAAAATACACTGCCGTGGCCGACAACGAGCGTTGTAAGCTGTACTGCCGAGCTGCTGGGAGCGCCGCATTCTACCTGCTCAAAGAGAAGGTGAATTTAGTTGTAGGACGTTAAACTTGAACCTTGCTCAGTGCTGTTAAAAGAATGCGAAACAGTGCAGCTGTAGCACGTCAAAATCGGTAACAAAAAATCATCGAAACAAGAACGCTGATCTAGTTGAACTACTGTTGCTAATCCATCTTGTATAGCATCGATACCGTGATAAAAACACGAGCTGTTTTATATGGAAAAATTCCAGTTAGCTATAAGATTTAAGGTAACTGATGGTACACCTTGCGATAGAAATGGCGATGATATCTGTGTGGATGGTACGTGCGTGAAGGTACGCTTTTTAATATAAACAAGAAAGTAAGTTTCTAAGCAAACATGCAACTTTTTTGAAATGTAAAGATGGACCCAATAACTCTGAATTCACCTGTCCTTCATCAACACCGTAGTTTTCTTCAAATTCAAATTCTACGCACTTATTCGAAAGACTCCCAACAGTTTAACGCGTTATCGTGGCTTGGAGGTGTTGTTGGGTGTCGGGCTGCGATGTACAGCGGGTGGATTCGTCGCCCCACCAGGGTCTCCCAAGCTGAGAAAGAGTCCGACGTTTCCATTTGGAAGCCCAGCTAAGAGTAAACCAATACCAGGATCCACCACCGTCCTGTTATCATATTAGTCGCATGGTGGCAAATTTCACTCCGATCCACAAGGGTGGCGACTGCCAATGGTGGTGGCTACCTGGGGCAGATCTTGGCTAGGCTGACCTTGGTGCTGCAGGAAACCACAATGGCTAAACCAGCAAAACTCTGAAAAGATGGAATTTATGCTGGGACCCACACAACCAGCGAAGACGGGCAATCCAAGCATCCGAGTAAGTTAGTATTTGGAGTACCTATTTGATTCTGTGACAGTTTCCGTTTTATGTCTAGAGTTTCGACGCATAATGCAGCCAAAAAGCTCATATTTCTGAAGGGACGATAATAAGTAGTCATAACAAATCTGATATTCATAGACATTCACGACAAGCATTCGTTTGCTGAAAAGAAATTTCTATAAACGAGTTACGTTAATTAGTTCATAAATTACGAATTTAGGAGAGTAAAAGAGGTCCGAGGGTGATCGGTTGTGCCTAGCTCTCTCTTAAGTAGGATTGATTTCTAGGCCGGTTGCGATCATCGCTTGTACTCGACAATGACTCGTGACAAATGTGGCATTTGTGGAGGTGACGGAACAACTTGCAGGACCGTGAAAGGCACCTACAATGAGAGAGGATCATTCGGCTACAATGCTGTGAGTAGCACTCGAATACGCATGAATACGCAGATTCTACAGTGGTTCGGCTAAAATTACGGGGATGAATAAGTATAAAAAATCATAGTAATGAGAAGATCTTATCATGTGGTTGCATCACGCTCTTATCATTGCAGGTCATGAAAATACCTGCCGGTTCCGCGAACATCGACATTCGACAGCACGGATACAACAACCAAAAAGACGACGACAACTACTTGTGTACGACTGACATAGTTTATTTCTATGGTTAACGGGATGTAGTAGGAGCATTCATTGACTGTTATTGAAAAGTTGCCCCTGACAGACCGATGTCACCTTCCTGATTGGCGTTCCAATGGTGGCCCGTTCTTCATCTCTACTGCGCACTTTTCTTAAGTTCAACCAAAATTAATTTCTTGTGAACATTCTTGAGGGGTACAAGTCTAAATTTCTGTCACTAACCTCGTTACTCGGGTTTTTAATCACAGTGTGTTGATCATCTCCAGTTAACAAAACACCTAGGAAGCGATTTTTCCAGCTGGTTGGGAAACATCAGAAGTATCTCAGGACGTTATTTGAAAACATGGAAGATATATCCTCTTTCATTGATGAGCTTGCACAAGGTTGATAACAAGACTTATTCGGCTAACGTTCCAACGTCTTCGTTTTCCTTAGAGCCGATGATCCGAGTCGATGTTCCACAGTCGGTCATCGGAATTACTACAAGACGCACAAATTTTTATCTTCGGACAATCATATCAACAACAACCGTCCAGTATAAAGGAGCATCGCAGGATGGGATTGTCTCATTTGACAGATGCTCCACTGAGTAAGATCCGACTCGGTACGAAAACGAAGACATCACGTCTAGAGTACGAAGAACTGTTGACGTCGACTCGGTTCATCGGTTAAGCGAATAAAGTTTGTTTTATCAAGCTCGTGTTTCATCAGTGAAAGAAGGTACACTGATCATTTATACCGAAGTTAAAAAGCCGGTTTGTGAAGTAACATGAGAGATGGCTAAAAACTGACACTGAATAACCACATGTATGCTGAGATATGAGCAAAAGTAGAAATCTCGGGTGGGCTTCGAGCCCACGATTAGCCCTTTTCGGGGATCACGAACAATCTTCCACGCTAACCAAAGCCCTCACATAATACCTTGTCATGAAAAAAGAAACAGTAAGTAAAAAAAGTTAGACATTGTGAAGTTAAATATTTTCAAGAACCGACTCAATGCTTGTCAGTGAACATTGGAGTTCAATACGCTTTATAACGATGTAATCAAAAAGAAAATTTGAAGAAAAATAAAACTTAGAGGAGCACCCGCTTTGAAAGTTATGTCATGCTTTGGACAGAGATCGTTCTTTTCCCTGGAACTTTTGGAAGAACTACTCAAACGTCCCAGCATGTTATCTTTGGTTGTTTTCAGCGCTTCGAGCAGCGAACGGCGAGTTCCTTTTGAATGGCCACTATCAGGTAAGCGTATTCCGACAGCAAATCCCCATCCAAGATGTCATACTGGAGTATTCCGGAAGCGACAACGTCGTCGAAAGAATCAACGGTACTGGTCCAATAAGGTACGAGCAAAGCCAAGTAAATCTGGTCTTTTTTAAATTCCACTTTTACAAAGGTGTTGGTGTATCTGTAGTAATCTGTGGGATTTAGAAGTATATAAATGAAGTTCATATAATGGTTTTGCCATATGCTTTTGCAGAACAAACTTGAAATACAATGAACCGTCAGTTGAAAAGAGAGAAATCGTTTTGTAGATTTTATGGGAGCCGTAAATTTTTCTAAGAAACAGTAGCACTATCTAATCCGAGTTCTATATAAAGAATGAGATGAGCAACACCGATGTAGTAGCTCTTGAAGTTGTTTTGAAACAAAACCAAAGAGATGTTATGGGTTTTGAAAGCGAGCTAGGAATTTCCTAAAAGATTTCATTTACTGCTGTTTCTTTCTTGTCAAAATATGTTTTCAATGCAGAATAGACATCTATGTACACGTATTGTCTGTCGGAAATCTTCTACCTCCGGACATCAGCTACGAGTATATGACTGCCGTCGAGGTACGATGTTGCCCGCAACTACAGCAGTAAATACTGTCGCATGGGAAAACCTTTTTCAGAATCCACTGGCTAGGAGTGCATCAGTGAACAACTACCACTGGAGAACCGGCGATCAATGGAGCACCTGCGATAGAATTTGCCAAGGTAAATGAGTACTGCATTTTTGAACTATAGGATGAAATGAACTGTTAGAAAATCTATCTATTTAGTTTATCGAGAGGTAAACAAAGAAAGCAGAAAACATGCGGAAATTTCCAGGAACGCAGACGCAGGAACTTCTGTGCGTCGATTTGTCGAATAATCGTCAGGTTAACGAACGAATGTGTACTACGAGACGACCACAAACTAACACTCGGATGTGCAACATCGAATGCTTCACGAAGTTAGCACTTTGTCGCTGTATAATTGATTTACTTAGATACGTAAACTTTCAAGCTGTAGGCGCATGAAATGAACTTTTTGAGTAAAACTAATAACAATAGTTGTTTGCGTCTAAATTTCACATCGAGGACATCAGTCTTCTAAGGATTAAGCTGTTTCGATCTTATCTAGCTTTTAATCTTGTGTTTGAAGGCGGCTATGGTAGAGATCCCATTCATTACACGCAGAGTCCTCTTCGAGGACAGGCTGACTTGACTTCCTACCCCTCCGCGGTCGGGAGCTTGACGCCAAACTTGCCTTTGAAGTTTTGTCCTTTTTAAAAGGACGGCGGCTACCGCAGAATCCAAACGCGTTTACGAAAACCTTCGTGGGATATGGATGCTAAGAAAACGATTCTTGTGAAAGATCTTACAGTAACTCCCACGACCGACTTTCTATTAACCTCGGCATTGATCAAGTAACTCTTCGTATTTTTGTTGAGCAAACGCGAGGTGTTATTATTCTTTATTCACGAATAAGCTGACGTTTCGGCGGATTTCGCCTTCCTCAGAGCCGTTTTCTATGAGGTTTCCACTAAGTATGTCACGTAGAGACCAACCGCACAGAAATCACATGGAAGTACAATGACATTGACATTATATAGTGACCCAGAGACATAGCGGGGACGACTTTGAAGTATGTGTCACGATCCTCGCACGCGAATCAAGAACACAGGCGCGCAAAACTCTAGAGGCATTCTGGATTAATTCCAGAAATCCGAAAATGAACCGCAGGGAAGAATGCCTGATTATCACGCGTGATATAGGGCAGTATATAAGACTGCTATTCTGATGGGAGGGGCTCATTATGCTTCCATGTGATTTCTGTGCGGTTGGTCTCTACGTGACATACTTAGTGGAAACTTCACAGAAAGCGGCTCTGAGGAAGGCGAAACCCGCCGAAACGTCAGCTTAATCGTGAACAAAGAATAATAACACCTCGCGTTTGCTCAACAAAAATACGAAAAATGCGAAGAATTACTTGTGAAAGAATTGCTGTAATCCACATAGTATGTGGTATTGAGTTATGTAAAATGAAAAAATATCTTTCATCTAACTCCAAATGAATGCTCTTGCATCGCATATATCAATTTCTTTCACCATACAAAAATATCAGCACTTTTGCCTATAAATCATAATTAAGCCCTCTCATTAATTCATGAAATCAATAAAAATTGATCGTATAAAATCAGGCAGCTAAAAACCTTCTTTGAAATGCACATGACTGTATAGCGAGACTAAAACGACCAGCTGTGGTGACCTATGCTTCGAGGAATTCTAGGCTATTTTCGTTAACGTGGAGATATGGGTCCAAAGATTATCTCTTTTAGGTGGGTAACTGAGGACATGACGCATTGTTCGGCCCAGTGTGGATCTGGCGAGAAAAGACAGCGAGTGTACTGTGTGAAAGTTGAAGGTGGTCGGCAGGTGATCATCAAAGACGAGGATTGTGATCGGTCCAGGTGAATCTGTTGGACTCCTCGTTAAAACGTTGCTATTGCTTTGCACAAAAAATACTTCATTCTAGTCGACCTCTAGAACGAGTGACATGCTTCGTGGATTGTTCAGGGAGAAAATGGAGCTATAGCGAGTGGTCGACGGTAAGGACAATTTTGATTTTTCCGATATAATTTCTTCGCATTAAATAAATTTTACTGCACTGGTAATCTAACTGAAAGATTTATTAACACAAGACCAATGAAGGTTTCAATTAATAATTGGTATTCAGTGTTCACAATCTTGCGGTTCTACTGGTGTGTCTCGAAGAAGCGTGTCTTGTGTGGACGATCATAACCGCGTAGTCCCCTACCAGCTTTGCATAGGAGAGGCCAAGGAAGCCGTTGAGAAAGAATGTAATCGCTTTCCATGCCCCAGATGGGTATACGGACATTGGTCAGAGGTAGCACCCTGCATTTACTACACATTATTGTATTGATTACCACCGCCGATCACGAGCTCTTTTCTCTTTAAAGTAGTGAAATCCATCGCTGCTTTATATGGTAGTTCTGTTTATTCCAAAAACTTCACAACTCTCTAGTGTTCTCGATCCTGCGACGGTGGTGTCCGGATGCGTCACGCACAGTGTTTGGATGCGGCCGATAAGGAGACTCATTACACACAGTGTGGTCCGAAGGTACGATTTTCCACTTATGACTCAAATGTCAAGATTCAAATTGCTTACATAACACCTCGCTCATACTGTTCATTTTATACTCCTACTAAGAGGTCCGTATTAGTGTTGGCTCAATTTGGTCAAAGACTATAGCTCCCATAAGCAAGTGGATGGCATTTACCATCAGCGTAAAATCTTGTTAACGATTTGGTAAGCTGGCAAGAGTAATTCTCTCTGTTTTTGCTTTGTTAGGATAAAAGGAATAAAGAATAAAGCTCACGGCGTTGACCAATCCCTAAGGGATGCGCCTTGGAATATTCTTGCACTTACAAAAACTAGCGTTTGGTGATTGGATAACGGACATTGAACGAGAATCGCAGGCGAATCATGTGTTTTTGTTTTCAGTAGGTCCTCATTATTGTGTTGTTCAGCACGACCGAGAACCCTGCAATGAGCACATATGTACTGGATGGTCCTTCGGCCAGTGGTCGACGTGCTCGGTAACTTGCGGTGACGGGGTCCAGACGAGAGACGCGCTCTGTGTGGACCGCAACGGCAGACAGGTCGACTCCGGTACGGTGCATACAGCTTCTTAACACTATGTTCCCATGTCTGGCAAAAACACAGATGTTCCATATCTATGAAAGTATATCTATGAAAAGTAGCTCTGAGTACGCGACCTAATACTTCATATAATCACATTTTAACAGGTTAACATTTAACATTTTAACATTGTTCATTCTTTAAAGGGAAAAAAGAATAGATAAAGTTCGAACTATATGGAAAATGAATCGTTGGTCGAAATTGAACACTATCTTGATCATCAAATCGAGTGACAGACTGAATTTGTTCTTGCCTAGCTTTATTGTTTTTCAAGCTAGATGTAACCATCGTGAGCGAATCGTGCAGAAACCTTGTTCCCGACCAGCGTGTCCATCGTGGAAAGTCGGTGAATGGACGCAATGCAGTGTACGTTTATGCATTAAAGTTAACATTTAACCAGAGCTTAGAGTTTAAATTAGTGTTCAGTTCTTTTCTAAATAATGAAAACCAGTCGTCTACTTGAGAAACTTGCTCAGAGCTATTTTTCCAAGTAACCTCAAAAGTGCCTTGGTAACTGTCATACAATCCATTCTTTAATTGTATTCTTTTTATAAGTTCATAGGGAAGATGATTCTTCCCCGTACATAGGCGGAGAAGCCCAGTAACTTGATCGAAACGGTTATCTGTAAAGATATTGCTGTACACCAAAAATGTAACAAGCTTCATAAAAATCTGCCAGATATGCAATCTATCACTTATCCTCTAAGCCATTTAGTGCGACACTTTAGTGAACAGATAAGTTGTCCGCTTAAGACGAAAAGGGCGTAATCATTTATGTAGAATTTCTACCATACCTTCTTCTGAGGTCTTTTCGGATCTTGAAGAGCTCGATGAAGTGGGCGAAAAGATGATACTACAAATATATTTGAAGGAATGAGAGGCTCATTTTCATGAAGACTCTACTGCGTGAATGAGGACGATTGAAGAAACACATATTTTAAAAGAAGCGTTAGAACTGAACTGGCAATTATCTGTTGAAACAAACCATGACTTCACCTTGTTATGTAAATAAGTCGTGCACCACATTAAATCTCTTGCGCGAAAGAAGATTCTTTAAATGTGTTTTGAAACACAACTGACACATATGATCCAGATTCAGCGACTCAACATTTTTGAGAAAAACAACCTCATCTTAATGACTCAACAAAATATATATTCGAGGTGTAGATATGTGGATCACCTAATGGGGTGAATTGACAAGAGATAGGGCAAGAGAAAGAGTTAATGAGGGTACAATTGCACTTAAAGATTTGATACACAACCGCTATATTCTGAGCTCATCAAAATTGTAGACTTGAATCGTGACGCTTCACGATCAAAGCATCTTCCAGTGCATAAAACAGATCCACATAAATGTTGGTGCTCACCAATCAATGAAATGGAAATTATGCTAGAATGTGCAGTACATAATTAGGACCTACTACTATCTTTATTTCTGCTTTAAGTTATATATGCTTTCATGATAAGGTTTCAGGTGTCTTGCCAGGATGGTTGGTCAACTCGTCGTGTTTCCTGTGTGGATTCTCGAGGCGAAGACATACAACCAGAGTTATGTATGGCGAGCGGGCAGGAACAACCTCCTTCACACAAGCAGTGCAACCAAGGCCCATGTCCGTTCTGGAGAACTAAGGAATGGAGCGCGGTAGGTGATCTAAGTGGACGCCATATAGTTTTCACATGCTATCCATACTTCACAAAGATCTGTTCAGGATTTAGATCCAGCCGCACTAAGAGCACTAGCAAATCATAACAAGTAGTAGTGCACTGTTCCTTTAAAAAAAACAATGTTTCTTAGACATTAAGCAGGTATCGTTTAAAAAAATAAAATCTTCTTTTTTTGTGTCCTTGTGGTTGTTCGTGACACCACTTCTCAGGCAAATATGCTAATGCTTCAGTGGCCAGAACAAGTACTATTTTGAAAGTGCTTCGGGAGGTACGGTGAATGACGCACAGTAGTTCACTTTAACTGTTCAATTTACCCGCTAGTCAACTTTGCGATATGGCGCCAAGCATTGTCGTGAAAACCATGCATTCTTAGTCGCCATGGTCACTTTTTCCTTTAGTTCAGTAACGAGATTAAGGAACTGGTTTACTCCTCATTTGGTTACCACCGACCATCTTATTCTCCTTTATCAGCTGTAAAAAGAGCATTTCCTACGAGTTCCAATGATGGGTAGAAGAACCTTGTTGTCGTATTAGTTAGCTATCGACAGAGCTGAGGTTATTTGATGGGGTTAGAATTTACATGGAGCTATCTCGTAAGCCATAATGTATTGCGCTGGGCCATTCCAGCTCACACATTTGTTGGCTCCAATGACGAGCTTTTCTGAAAAGTGTCTTCGGTTTAGGTGCACAGCAACGAATCACAGGTATTGACTTGCATATACCAGTCATGATTGATCAAACTGTGAGGAAGTAAACGATACCTCGCTTGTTATTTGTCCATCCACTGAGTTGAGGCGAACTACTGATGGGGATCTGAGCGATTATGAGCGCTCTTTCCATGTCGCCTGCGCTCAAGACGGAGCATAGGTAGACTACGAAAAGTGCAAAACGTGAATTACAAGTGGGAATTTGAATAATGGAAGGAATTGAAAAACTCTATATGTAGAACGTTACAGTTAAAATAAAGATACCAGGTCATAGGATTATATAGTACTTTGTTAACTAGCAGGTATATATTTGTTCTGTAACCAAAGAAGATCAACTTTCTTCGGAATTTTTAGTGTTCGGTGACATGTGGCTCGGGATTCAGACGTCGCACAGCTGAGTGTATCTACAGAGAACAAATAGTGGATCACTCGTTCTGTGGAGATTTCAGTCCGCCAACAACACAACAGCCATGCAAGTAAGTTAAGCAGGCAGTAAGATTACAACTGTATCGACGAAAAAATGAATGGGAGCTGCCACCGACACGAGTTTGATGTGGATCGACTCTGGCCATGGCAGCCTTTGCAGTCAATACGCGTCAATTCTGTGCTGGTAGGCGATAAGATTTACCGAAATCAATTTTAGACTGTATCATTACCATGAAATGATATTCATTTCCTGTCATACAGACCCATTACAGCTTGGTACCTTGCACATCATGGGAGGTATCCGCATGGGGACCATGCTCTGTGACATGTGGTAATGGCACACAGACTCGTCGTACTCACTGCACATCTGGACCGATGAAGGAGCCGGTGAAGGACTTTCTTTGTGATAAGGTATCCCTTGTTCAGAGTTTTGTTATTTTTCATCACCAATTATTGTTAGACTAAGAAAATCTACTTGCTGAATTGCGGGAGGAGTTAGAGCGCTTGAGTTTGCGCTTTAGGGCCATCGGTTTTTCAAAAAAAAAAAAGAGAAAGACTTTTCACTCATTCAGTCATGAACGCCGAAGTAGTTTTTTGTCGTTCTGTAGCATAGAATTTATTCTCAATCAAACCTTGTTTGAGTTTCAAAATTATAGGGTGTTAAGACTTTTTAATAAAAACAATTCACTGATTGCTGTCATTTGAGGTATCTCGACCACGCGAAAGAAGAACCTGTGAACGCGATGCTTGCGAAACGCAAGTGTCAGATCTGATTGCTCAACCTGCTGATATGCCCCCAATTAGATGGGCCACTGGACCATGGTCTGAATGCTCTGCAACGTGTGGAAATGGAACTCAGAGAAGATTGGTAATCTGTCCTATCTATTTCTTTTGACAACGATATCTTCTATTCCGAGCACTCATTTCTGTATAAGTTCAACTCTGGCGAAACTTTTCAAAGATAACTTGCGATATCATTATGAAATACTTTTTCATCAGAGCGAATTCCCAATATTCACTATCAATAGCTATTTCTGTAAATTAGCAGTGAAATTTTTTTACTGCAGGTGAAATGCCGTGACCATGCACGAGACTTGCCAGACGAATACTGCTGGGATTTGGAAAAGGTTGAACACCAGCGTCCATGTCGTGTGAAAGTTTGCGCGTACTGGAGAAGTGGCCCATGGATGCAGGTAGTTCACATACCTTAGCTTTTCCTTCGAACTTACTGTAAGTTTCTGAATAGAGTTGATATTTTAAGTCAACATCCCAAATACCTCGAAAACTTGCTAAATACTGTTTTCATGCACCTTCTCATTTTTAACATATTTTTCATGCAAAAACCGCTAATTAAATATCTATAAAAATGTTAAATTTTTATTTGGAGCCTACCACAATTTTTCACGGCAGGGTATTACACGAAATTCAACCATAATAATGCTGAGATATTTACAAAACTCGGGACCGCAGGTGTATGCGGTGGGGAGCGAACGCGCTATTGTCCTTTCCGGGGAGTAACGCGTTCACCGCCACACCACGCGGGTTCTTCCTTTCGCCTGTCTCTCAGCTAATTCTATCGATCTTTTGCCATTAGCAATCACCCGTCAACGGGATTGATCTGGAGAGCCAAAATCAGCATTGAATCCAGTTAAGCTGAGGATACGGGTGATTGGTGATGGCAAAAGACCGATAGAACTAGCTGAGAGACAGGCGAAAGGAAGGACCCGCATGGTGTGGTGGTGAGCGCGTTACTCCCCGGAAAGGATAACAGCGCGTTCGTTCCCCACCTCAAGCACCTGCGGTACGGAGTTTTGCAAATATCTCAGCATCATTGTGGTTGAATTTCGTATAATATCCATAAAAATTTCCGCAAAACCATTAGAACATTTAACACACTTCGCTATAATAGCGTCATGCGACATCTACTTTTTGTGAACCAACACCTCTACGACCAAAATTTTAACAGTTGCAGTGCCCTGCCACGTGTGGCGCTCACGTGCAGCAATCGCGCAGTGTGATCTGCACGTCGAGGAGCCCCGATGAGAGCGCCAGCGAAACGGACTGCAACGTTGCCGAGAGGCCACCGTCGATGAGGTCGTGCAAGCTGAGCGTTTGTCCTAAAGGAGAACCACCACTTGGAACGTGGATTAGTGGCGAATGGTCCAAGGTTTGTGCGAAAACCGTTGCTCATCCCTTCTCATGTTATCTATGTCAGAGTTCTTCATAACACATTTATTTTCAAGTCCCTTATAAACCAATTACTAAAGTAATTAAATAAATGTTTTGGGATGATTTCCGTACTTAGTGAAACTCCGTTTTTAATTAAAACATATCGTGCTTCACTTCAGTTTTTATTTTCGTTCCTTTCACTTTTTACCTACGCGTATGGATAGTGTCAGAGGAGTGAAACGTCGAACGAAATTGTAAAAGAACGAAACTTTCCGAAGACCGTAGCTGAGAATTCGACCTTGTTGCGGCTTAACTTTATTTCAACTCTGGCTTCGGGAACCAATACAGAACGGTATAACTCGTCGAGCTAAAATACTAGGTGAGCAGAACTAGGCTTTCGAATATCTGGTGCCCAGGCTGCTGAAACTTTGATTAGCTTTCGTTATCTACGTAGACTGAATGCTCTTCATTAACTCATACGATTACTGTTTCTTCCGTAGTGGCTGTACTACGAAGAAAGATGAACACACTTTGTCTTTTTCTTCTGACACAAACAATTTCAATAGCCGGAGCCGTGTCGTGGCCACCACCGCGAATAAGATAATGTAGCTTGACTTGTGTAGATAATGACCACTTAAGCTCAACATTCAAAGGAAACGGACATATTTTTTGTGGATAATGTCTGTCGATTCAAATCTCAATGCGTTAGCTATTACCTTCCGTGGGTACGATCCGGTAAGGAAGCTGTAATTCACTTTTTGGAAAACCATTGACATTGATATTTGAACTGTCGGCATTTAGTGAAGAAATTTTGGAACAGCAAAGTCCACACAATGAAGCTAGTTCAATTATCAATACTCCGTGGTAGACCATTTTCGAAGAGCAGAGCAACTGACCGAGCACGGTGCTCTTGATGGAAACGAAGGCATTTACTCCACTCCGTTTCCCTCGTAATCTAGTCATTTTTAGTTTTTTATTTCGTTGATTTAAATGTTCGAACGTTCTGCCACAATCCTCGTAGAAAGCGAAAGTTGTTCAGTATTAGCTCGACTTTACGTACCTTATATCTCTTTTCGACATGATAAACTTTTCTTTCAAGAAATCATGCATCTTTAAGCGTGTTTACAAGGTCTTTTATCAACTATAACTGTCGGTCGTCGCATACATAATGGTAGGCGATTTTCTTTTGCAAGACGATCCATTAGAAGGACCATATTACGGGAAGGCATATATTCTCGGGTGAACATAAGTTGTGTGGGAGATAATACTGGATTAAATGTGTGCTTATGGATTTGCAACAACTGCATCAAATCTCAAACTTGAGTAACTGATCTTCCATACGGCATACAGCTAAGAAATCTAACAATGAAACCAACTAAGATGTCGAGATGACCGCAACAGTTAGGAATGGCAGTGAGTAGAGAATAGAGCAAGTAGACCTTTGTCGACTGACTCTGCTTACTAAGTGGTCATTGTTGACGAAAGGTCTAGCAAATATGATGGATAAAGTTCCGTATCCCAATTAAGTTTCTGGTGACTTCCTTATTTAACAGGCAGTCGAGTGTAGTCTTGCAAAAAGACTAGACCTGCTCTGTTGACCAATTCTCAAAGCTTTCTATGCAATTTTAGATGCATTTCATTCATTTGTGACGAGATATTCTCTGTTCTGACCGTCTCATCAGGATTTGGAAGGTTTTGGTGAATTACACCTACTGTAGGCTGCCATATAATCACCACAGTTCACATTCGGCTTTGTAAGTGTTTAGAAGGTCAACCTTGGCCAACCACTACGCTGAACGTTGATGCTTTCTGTATAGAATCAAATTTCGTTTTATTTCCCAATACGATAGAAGTATGCACAAGTTGCGTTACGTAAAGATGCGTGCAGCGGATTTTTTTTGTTTTTTTATTTTGTACGACCCATCCTTCACATCTACTGTGCAGATCCCGCATTCGATTCGTTTTCTCGTTCCATCGTTGGCAGAGGTCCTCCAACATTTTACGTGTGGCTTCGGTTACTGCTTGAGGATTTTCCACTCATCTTTAATGTCATAGAAAGCAGATCTAATCGATCCTTCCTGGAATCCTGAGATAGTCGAGCTAGAGTGTTCCCATTTAGACTGTAGCAAATGATTTTCCCCGGACAAGTTCGGTATCAAATTTCCGGCCCCGGATGGATGAGATGCTTGGCGAGATCGAACCAGAGCCGTTTTCGTTATGATCGACGTCAGTACCACTGTGCTTGCTGTTCGCTTAGAGCTCGGCGCGTCGGTGTGACACGAATTAAAAAAAAGTGAAAGTCTAGTTAGGGTAAACTTTATAAAAAGCAAAATACTTTACGATTTTCTGTTTTTTTAATTTGTATGGCACCGACTCACCGAGGATTTTCCACTTCCACTGCCTTTCAATAGCGAACGACTAAGAGTTGACTAATGCGAACTTCTTTCGCGATTTCCTCAGTAGTTTTTCAGGTGGTCAGCTGTAGTAGAGCGCGTGCGGCCTAGTGCTTGGAGGCGCCACGGCGACACACACGTGGAATCGCTCCACGTCCCCCATGGCCCCAACCCTTCCATCCCTCCGGAGGCGGCAAATTGGCACCAGACTTGTCTGGATGATAGCAACACTGGCTCGACACATCGGTAGGCCACCGCGAGTCATTGTAAGGGCCAGATATGCATTCAATCATCTCCAACGATACTTGATGAAGTCGAAAGCATGGCGCATCCCTCAGAGATTGATCAACGCCAAGAGCTTTATCCTTTATCCAGCTTTAGTAATCGTCTTAAAGTGGTTTTCGTGAACTACTTATTCGCTTCAACATCCTTTCTCAGTTAGGCTCACGTCAGTACGGAGATATTCGAGCCGTCTGCACACTCTTCGCATGAAAGCTTTTTGATGGCTCGTGATCTGATGACACTTCATGTTGCTATCGCGAACAAATGTCCAAGTTTGAAATCATGAAGCAAACAATACGTTTGCTTGCTTTAAGAGTACCATTTCAACAAGCCTATAATTGTTGTAAATTCAGTATTAGAAAAGTTTTCTACATGGCTAAAGGTGAAGCAAGTGGTAAACACTATAGTTCACAGCCATAATACAACTTGTAAATGACTATTAAAAAGCAAAGTAAAAATTTATAAAACTTGCAACAACAAAAATGGCCATTATTTTTGAATTAACTTAATACACGTTGTGCTTCGTATCGCAACGACACTATTATCTATTATGTATGTGTACGTTTTATACAATATTTTGACACTATTTACACAAGCATGATAAAGCTAAGTACATGCGACGAGGTTACTTTGTATTTCTTTGACATTTGATGTGCGTTGAATCGTTTCACAGCACAGCCAACTAATTATGAGAAAAGAATTACCCATTGCTTAGTGCTCGGTGACGTGCGGTGGAGGATGGCGACGTCGTACCGTGAGATGCGACGGCCTTATTTGCGACGATAACGAAAAGCCAAAGATGTTCGACGAATGCAATGTACCGCCCTGCCCGCCGAAAAGCAACAACACCTGGCAGATCTCCCCATGGAGTCACGTAAGTCCATGGAAATATTTTTAGCGGATATCATGGAATAAAAGCGTGGTTTTCGACGATAATTCCCAAGTTTTTATCTCCAAAAGTGACTAAGAACAAAGCAGTTAATGACAACTTGTCTTTCTGTAGGGCTTGTTATACCAACTTTTCATATCTTCCTAAAAGCTTGTTTCGGCAGTCATTTTTTAAACACAACCCATACTACGAGGTCCCATTACAGTGTTCCGTGACCTGTGGTGGTGGAGTGCAACGACGTCGCATCTGGTGTGAGGACGCAGTGAGTGCTAAGTTGCAAAGCGACAGCGAATGTCGTGATGCGAAACCAGAGGAACAGCGCGACTGCGAACTTCAGCCGTGTCCGTCGTCACAGCTGTCACGAGCAACGTGGCAAACAACACCGTGGAGTCCGGTACGTCGCAGATACAACCAGAAAACTCATCACCTGCCCACGCCGCTGCGCGACCTCTGACCAATTGATTGTACACAAGTTACCCTCCCCGCCGTACAAAAGCCTATTTCTCGCCTTGTGTTTCCTCCATACTCACTGTTTAAAGATGCTGCTTGTGATAACCTACGCTGAGAACTATGGAGAAAGTTTGCACCGTATGCTAAGCAGAAGATTTCGGAAAGGAGATTCCTTACAAAATTGTGTGATCCTCACGAGATGTTCACAACCTCGTTAATTCAACAAACAATTCGATTTGGAAACTCACTTAATTGCTCTAAACCCAGCGTATTACTCACGGTGTACGGAACAGCACCGCACTCTAAATTACAAATTGACGCCTTATGGGCATTTTCTTGAAGTCACTTAGATTATGTGTAAAAGCACAGGCCAGTTAAAAATATCCCGAATAAATATCATTTTTCAGGGACGATAAGTAGAATCCCAGAAACATATCGGTCTGGGAAATGTTTAAGCAAACATATTTTGAACCTTTCTCTTTCTAAGCCCTTTACTTTCGACCATTGGGAGAACCCTCCAACCTTTGGAAAAAACCAATGACTTAAAATGATCTTCCACGGATACTGCCAAGAGTGAAGGTGGGGGCAGTTAGGTCGTGGTCTGTATGTGTGTATATGAAATGATCTATTACAAATAATGATTTCTGGTTGAATAGAACAGATGCGCGCTGTGAAGCACCCAATGTCACCAGCACCTCCCAACATTACCGCTTCATATCACTGAAACGTAAATCAGATGTTTCGAGTCCTAACCTCAGCAATCTATTAACTCATGCCTGACTGCCTGCATATCCGCCTCCTGATACGTGGTGTCTGTGTCTTTGTTTTTATGTTTGTTCATTCAGTGTGTCAGTGTCTGTCAGTGTCTATCAGCATCTACTTGTGTCTTTGTCCAGAAATACCACTCGACTGCCACTAATAATCATTGTTACAGTTGTGTTTTATTCAGTGTTGTTGTTATTCCTTAGGTGAGGATCAGTCATCCGTATTGGTTTCACGAAGCTGAAACAAACTTACGAAGAATAAAACGTTTGAGCGTTCGTGTCGTCATGTACGTGACATCAGTAGTATTTTTTGTATCGCACGGCACGGAACGGCCACAAATTTGTGTGATTTCTTGTTCTTTTACGTTTTATGCTAGAATTATCACCATCATACATTCTGTTGAGACGAATGGATTACTTGTTGCTTTCAGCTATTGTCGACTATTAATTGATCCAGTGTGCTTTGGCTGGGGTGCCCTGCAAAGGGTGCGTGCAGTGCAGTGGTCGGAGGCGCCCTGCAATACACATGGGACCGATCCCCACGCCCAAGGCTCACCAAGCCTTACAACCCCCTGGGGTCTGAAAATTGGTACCAGACTTGTCTGGAAGGATAGAAGTCTGGGTTCGATACATCGGTGGGCCACCGCGAGTCATTGTAAAGGCCAAATATGCATTCAATCACCTCTAACGATGCTAAATGAAGTCGACTGCATGCCACATCCCTCAGGGATTGATCAACACGGAAAGCTTTATCCTTATTTTTTGTGCTTTAGCTAATTGAAATCCCTCATTCATGAACCGCAACTTGTGAGAAATCTTGCGAAACCAAACACACCAGTAGTTCGTAGTTCTTTAGCAACTACCGTTTTGTATAAGTGCTACCCTTCGCGCTTCGCGCATGAATTTACTCCTAAGTTGGTTCTTTGAATAGAAAACACTTGAAAGATAGGACAAAAAAACAAAACAAAACGGGAAATAAACAGAAGACATAAAGAGTGCAGTTCAGCATCCCTCAATCGCTGGTCCATTTACTAACTGCTACTTTTTGAAAAATTTTGAAAGTTTTGAAAAATAGTGATTCTTGCAAGAAGAGCCTGGTCTTTCACCACAGTACATTAATGACTTAGAAATAGAACTTCACGACTTATATTTCCCTGCAAGAAGAGCAAAATGGACCTTCATCGCAGCCACACCTCATGTATGAAAATCATATTCGTTCATAAATTTCATAAATTTTTGGTTCATAAATTCGATATTCTGACGGGGACACCGACTTGCACCCCACTAACCGTAATCTTCTTTGATTTAAATGTGAACAACGTACTGAGATCGTAAATGTTGATCGACTGTGATGAGAGACAGTAGCAATAGCAGCAAGTAGTGATTACTAGTATAGCTGAGTACTAGATGCAAGAATGAATGGAGCGTGATGAACTGGTCGGAGACCGAGCCGTTGCAGTGCTCGGCGAAGTGCGGCCGCGGCGTGCGACGCCGCGCTGTCGCCTGCGTCGACCTGGCTACAAACGCGACGCTCGCCAGCTCGCGCTGCGACGCCGCGTCGCGCCCCATAGACGAGCACAAGTGTCGCGTCATGCATTGTCCGCGCTGGAGAGGAACACCATGGTCCGCGGTGGGTGGCGTTCTTCGTTCCTTTTTCTTTTTGTATTTTTTCTTTCCAAACTGATTTCGTGTTACAGAAATTCGACGAAAGACGATGCCATCAGCAGTAGTAATAGTAATGGTAGTCATAATAATGTTAGCACTAGTAGTAATCAAAACTTCTTTCCTAATACTTACTTGGATAACTGGATGGACCGTCTTTACTGGTTGTGCGAGTCCCAGCATAATTTCCATTTTTTCGGAGTTTTGCTGGTTTAGTCATTATGGTTCCCTGGAGTCCTGAGGTCAGCCTGGCCAAAGCCTGCCCTGGGTCGTCACCACCACAGGCAGTCGCGGCCCTTGCGGAGCAGAGGCAGATTTGCCACCGTGAAACTAATCATGCCAGGACGGTGGTCGATTCTGGTATTGGTTTACTCTTAGCTAGGCTTCCTGGTGGAAACGCTGGTCTCCTTTTTACATTGCGCTTCCATACCCAGGAGCGCCTCCCAGCCACGATGAGACGGGAAACCGTTGGGAGTGTTTCCCAACAGTGGTACGTATTACTGTTATGCAGGAAAAATTATAAAAAGAAGCATGTTATTTTTCTGTTTTTTCATAACGTTGCTTCTATCGGAACCGTTATATTACTGTATCATACAATGCATACCATTAAAATATCGAGGATTTCCTCGTTTTGTTTATCTTTAGAAAATAGACCTCTTCTCCTTTAATGCGGTGCATTCGCTATGCAATTCTCTACGGTTGTGGAGTAGAACCTACTTCTTATTAGCGCATCTCCAGCTGATCAGGAGACACCTTGAAAGCGTTCTCACAAATCCTGTCTTCACATTGAGCAGAACATTTCCTCCCGGATTGTTGCAGATAATTTCGACAGGATGGCTTGGCCTTTTCGAGCATCTATCTTTATGTCACAATGTTTAACGTTTTGTTTTCTGCCTTCTATAATTTTCATGGCAGGTTACTAAGCGAAATACAACCACAACGTTGCTGAGATATTTGCAAAACTCTGGACCGCAGGTGTCTATGGTTTTGCTGTGGCAAAAAGATCGATAGAAATAGCTGAGAGACGTGCGAAACAAAGGACCCGCATGGTGTGGTGGTGAACGCGTTACTCCCCGGAAAGGATAATAGCGCGTTCGTTCCCCACCATAGACACCTGCGGTCCAGAGTTTTGCAAATATCTCAGCAACGTTGTGGTTGTATCTTTATGTCGGTGTTAAACTCGTTGTGAAATAGTGATGTTTTGGTTTTGAAGTTGTTGTATAACTCACAAAGGGTCTTTATACATCGGGTAGCCTTGTCTGCACAGAGCTTCTATGATCGCTTTTCTCTAATCTGACTCAAATGTCTCTCTTTCAGTCGATAAAATTGAGGCAAGCTTGTCGTTTATTCTTTCGTGGTAACTCTGATATATCGTACTAAATCTTTTTCGAAACCTCGATTGCTCATATGGCTGTCCTTTGTTCAGTATTCGTCAATCTTACCGATAGTAACTGTAGTAAAAAGTTTGTAGACGATAGATAGTAAGCAGTTTGGGCGATAGTTGCCGATGTCATGGTCACCGTTTCTGAAGAATAACACAGTCTTGATCGTTTTCCATTGAATAGGAATCTTTCCATTCAGATAGGTAACGTGGGAAGAGCCGAGCCAGTGTGTTGATGAGCACTGGCGGAATGTTCTTCAGGTGTTCAGATTTCGTGCTTTCCGGACCTGGTGTTGTTCTGTTTTTCATCTGACGAAATAACATGTCGGATTTCCGAAGGGTTAACCAGTGGGACGATATATCCATCCTTCTTTAACGTGAAGGAAGGAGGAGATGACAGTTGAAGTGGTCTGTGTAGTAATCTTCACGATTTTATCCGCTGCCTTTTTGGAAGCTGTAACTGTTCCATCTGGGCATCTAATTGCAATCACCTTGTCTTGTAATTGTCGAAGGTCTTTGCTGATCGCTTTGCCTCTGCCTCTGCAACTTCACCTCTAACTGCTGCTCTTCACTCCATATAATCTTCTTTTATCGCCTGTCTGCATTGTTTTGCAAGTTCGGACGTTAGTTCGCGGTTGCCTGCAGCTCGTGCGATTCCGCGCTGGCGTATGAGCTCGAGTGTTTCTGGAGACAGACGCCACTTGGTGACTTGAAGTTGAATGAGCCGATTGTATTTTTCGTCGATGTTATCGACAACGGTATTATTTTAAAGAATATTTGTTCTCTCGTGCCATGAAGAAAATTTAATGAGTCTTCAGTTGGAAGATTTAGCAGTTATTCTTCTTAGGTTGCATCATCAGGTTCTGAGTGGATGGTTGAGTTGGTTTTCGCATGAAGCATGAACACACATCGTCATATGAGTCATTCCGGATTTATCCGGCTCTGAGTGACTCTGAGACTTCAGTAGACCTGCAGTGTTAGTCCTACTCAATGCTGGGATAACATTTGATTAAAAATCGGTGGTCTAGACTTTTGTTCTTCCTAGTAAAATGTATGTTTCTTGCAAGAAGAAACATTATCCAGTCGGAACATTTTGTGCTATTTCGACAGTACTTGTAGAAAAAATGGTCTTCGATTAAACTTCAAGAAGGCAATGTTTTGAAGCAATTGATTTTTGCTTACACGCCATTTAGGCACAAGGGTCTCCATTTCATTAATTCAGCAGTATATCTCTGGATCGACATGTCCACCCTGACACGGTAATGTCGATCAAAAGGAAGTGGGTGACTTTAAGAGATTATAAGAGCATCGAAAAACTATTAAAGAAGTAAAAGAGCACATGCTACATATCAATTCTTCGTTTACACTGTTCCTCCACTTCTAATTTGAACACTACGTAAATAATATGACGAAAATGTTAACAGCGTTGTAAAAACGCCCTACCAAGAGGATGGCGCTGAGTGTTTCATACTATGCAGGTTGAAGTGAAAGCATAATGTTCCGACCTACGTCAAATTTCGAGAATCGAGAAGACGTTATATATGCTCGGAAAGCATATCGAAGATCAGGTGAACCCAACACTTGATCCGTCTAAACGTTGCCAACCAATGAAGAGGAGCCGTTGGCGACTGGGTTTTTCGGGATGTCAAGAGAGCAACAGTACTCACGCTGACCTGGTGATATTCACGGTCAACTCAGAAGAAAAATATGCTGCCCAACGAATCCCTAGAGCGAACAGAGCCCATTGAGCCATTCTCACGCAGCAGGTGCAAGTGGATACTGTAGCGGCGCCCTCGCGAGTTTGTCAATCGTCAAGTGGAAGACATGATAGAGATGGTGACCAGATTTCATATATTTTTACGGATTCTAGCACTTCTATTTATTTCGTTGTCTTGCATCTATAATCCACAAGTTCTTCGGATTTTCTTGTGAATTTGATAGCTACTCTATGACAGTCAGTGTTTTCTGGTTGAGTAGACGCTTTCAAGAGTCCCTGTCTAACTCGGAGAAATAATCTCATTTTTTGTGCTTAGAAAAGCGTGTTTAATCTAATGCGTGACCTTAGTAACCGTAGAGGTGTCAATTTGTAAGGTCCGCTTTTTCAGTTACTGAACTTCTGTTTTCTTCATCAAATTTTGATTTTGCACGGAACAGATTTGGGTGAGGTATTTATTTGCCAAGTAGCTTTCACATTCTTAGCCAATACTGTCGTCGAATAGTGAAGCAACCCTTAATTATTTGAAAACTTTCTATGTTACGTCTATGTGTAACTGCTCTTCAGTGTTTTATAACCAGTTTCCTGTGCAGTGTTCGACAACCTGTGGACAAGGGGTCCGTCATCGCGAAGTGTTTTGCCAAAGAGGACGTCGGATGCGCGCTCCCGATTCCGTCTGTGATGCAGCTCGTAGGCCACCTTCTACCGCGAACTGCTACCTAACTGCCTGTCCAGCGTACCACTGGACTACGACGATCTGGTCCAAGGTTGTTGATTTGCGATAATTTTCATTTCATTGCCGTAGTATTCAAACACTCATCCAACACTTTAGAACCCATTCTTTATCTTCAATCGGATATGGTAAATTCGATGTTGTGTTGTGTTGTGTCGGAAATAGCGTAGAAATAGACCGTGTTAGTGTAAAAAGAAGATAAAAATATTGATTGTTTTGCTTTAATCTGCTGAGATGCTTTGGGAAGTTTCAGTGCGTGGATTCGTGCGCACGTGGTGAGCAGCATCGGCGCGTGTACTGCGTGAATAACGCAGGAAAACGCGCAGCACCTCGCATGTGCGAGGCTGCCATTGCTCCGCTGAGCAAGAGACAATGCGACATCTCCAACTGTCCTTACGAATGGGTTCCGGGTCCTTGGAATACTGTGAGTGTTGTTCTACTTCATATCCTTGGTGGGGGAGTTCATAACTCAATACGTGACACTGAGTTGAATCAGAATAATACCTTGTATTTTAATGGTGTGGGACTATTTTGGTATAAAGTGTTAAGCAGCGTCATAGAAAGTCGCCATTGTTTTTGCATTGGGCCCCTAAATCAGTTTTAAAATATCTCTTTTATCCTACCGGTTTCGTGAAAATGGTTAACCAATTGTTGTACTTTCTGCAGATGGCTCTACTAGATACTTTCTTGCCATCATAGTGTTTAGGTTCATAGTTATGAAGGTGAAATCAGAGAACGCGTAAGTTCAATTGGCCTCTGAATGCTCTATATCTATTGAGCTCTGAAGTGATTTAGGACAAATTCGGAGGACTTCATTCTATTTTCAGTGTTCCAAGACGTGTGGGAAAGGGACCCAATTCCGCCTTGTAGAGTGTCGTGTGAAGACGCTGAACTCTACCAAAAACATTGAGCCAGCCGTACCAAAGGTGACCGGTTATATTCGACGTGGAGGGCTAGCTCTAAAAATTCATCTTTTAGGAAAAATGTGGTGCTCTTCCAATGCCAATTGAGTCACAAGAATGCGATTTGAATGCCTGCGAATCGGAGTTCCAGTGGCAGATCGGGCCGTGGGGGGCGGTACGTTCCACTATCTCATCTAGTTCCTTCCGTATTCTAAGATGAAGGTAGTTGCCTACACTGTTGATTCGTCCCTAAAAACTTATCATTACCGGGAAGCTGAACATCGTCTAGAAGACACTGGATTTGTAAACTGCTTTTGCTCGCCTTTAAAGCGTTAACTGTTTAGTTTAAGGGATGAATGACGTAGTATAAGAATATTTAACAACATTTTATATTGTTCTATTATTTGCGTAAATATTGAAGAGTCTATGATGAAGAGTAGCTTGTAGTTTGTTTTTTTTTCTATTTTCGCTATTCTTCATTTTAGTCGAAAACCGTGAAATATCAGCATGTAGATGGGAATTCATTTCGTTGTATTTGTTTAGGAGTTAGGCGAACGATCTAGAATTATCTCTATTTCCTTCATAAATCGCAGCCCTTGTTGTGGTAAAAGTAACTGTCGAGTATTTATTCGCTCTAGCTGATACTAAAAATGGAATATTTCGTCTCTCCTGACCACGATTCGCGATTTAAATGCAAAATAGAGTTTATTCCTGATTTCATATTTTTTTATCACTTCAACGAACCTCCTGTTACCTATTATGCAATCAGAACGAAAATCTTGCCTTTTGTTATCATTTAACGTTTAATTATCCAAGTCTGAGTGGTTATAAACGTGTAAGAAATCTAAAGACGGCGGCAGTGGCTTTTGATGTCTTCGACTAATTCATTATTATAAAAGAGAGGCTTCGTGTTTGTTTAGTGATAATAAAGCGATGTCACTACATGCGCTTTTGTATTCATTTTCTTTCTAGTGTTCGCAAACGTGTGGACAAGGGGTTCGTCGCCGCAAGGTGCGCTGCTACAACCGTGTTGGGATTCTCGTGGCTCGAAACAATTGTGAGCAGAAATCTGTTCGCCCTCGTCGAACGCAGACATGTTTCCTTAGAAACTGTAAGTTTTTCTGCCATGAAATTTACTCTGGTAGATTGTGAACTGACGTGGTTCTTCATAATAATGTAGAATTTATACGTTAGAATCTTGGATTTTAGAGCGTTCAGATTCTTCAATCTATTGCTGAAGTGAAAAACCTGAAACTTTTTAAATAGAACTTGAAGTAACTAGACGAGAGGAAGTTGATATTATTACAAAAAGTGGAACTAGTCAGCTTGCTCACAATGTTGCTTAACACATTCTCAGCCATTTGGGTCATATACGACATACCTTTCCCGTTCATAGTTTTGTAAGACAATTTTACGTTACAATACATTTCTTACTGGATCGCCTACTTCCGTACTACATGTGCCAGAGATCGTTCAAAAAAATTGTCGTCCAAACATGACAATATTTCATAAGCAGCTTTTGAGACGAATTTATTCATCTCTGTGTACTCGCAGTGACTTACTTACTTACTCTACTGGTAGAACCGTACAGACTGTGTAGCAAAGGAAACGGACGAGGTCTTAACTCGGTGAGCTGCTCGCCGTGTGTGTTTGATGATGGATCTGCTGTGCAAGTTTTCTTGTAATAGCCATTTGCTGCACCTGAAACTTAGGTAATTAAACCGTATGTGTACAATGTTGTACAATGTTTCCACGGCGGTGCAATGAGATTCGAGATATATATACAAGTTATAACTAAGGTGGTTCGGTGCGTAGTGGTGTAAGTAAACAAATTGCACTACAGTGGTGTAAAACGCTATATAGCAGATTTATGAAGGTATTAAATATGATTAAGAAGTACTGTTCATGGTACAGTGTTACTGTAACTGCAATAGCGTTAGGATTTTCGTCATCGCAGTGCAAGAATGTGTTAGTAATAACGGAATGGTTTTAGCAATGAAGATTTTGCAGATTGGAGTACTTATGAACAGGGTAATTCACCTCTCAGGCAGATACAACAAAACGTATCAATGGATTGGGACGCAGCGGAATTGTAAATAAATGAGTTGGTGTGGCAATGGTGGATTTCGTAGAGCACTTATAAGGAGCGCAAGTATTTGAGAAATTTGCTAAATTAACAACGAGTAGTGGGTTACATGAAGATTGAAGATAACCTTAATGGGTTGGTAATGCAACTGCTAGAGATTTTAGATCTAGATTTAGAGAGACTAACTAAGCAAATGATTTGTGGAACTGAATTGCAGTGAAGACGATCGAATTATTTCGACATTGAACTGGTTGTTGCGGTGTCGAATTGCGAAATGACGTGCAGTTGTTAGATTCTTTCATGCGCCAATGTGTAGCGAAGACGACGAGCAGGTCCTCGTGATTTGGAAGGACGACGGCGATCTGCACGCGTCGTCAGAAGGTAAATGGCACTGCTAAGGGGTGTGACTCCATCCAAACGAATGGCGAAGCTCGTTAGGTCAGCTCACCAAGAAATGTTGCCATGGGTGTTGGCGTGTGCCCAATGGTTAAGAAGGAATATGAATGCAGGACAGGCGCGAGGGCGTTATGTCAAGTATTTTATAATGCAGTAGGTATATGACAGGAATAATAAATACGTATGCGTAACTTATACAACAGTTGTTAAAGTGAAGAGTAAGTAATATTTTATGAGGAATATTCTCCATGGCGAGAATACTAAACTATCTTCTTATGATGATAAATCACTAGAAAGGCTTTCAAAGATGAATTAAAGTGTACTCTTACACTCTGCATTACAAAAATTATTGGTGGTAAGAAAGACAGGTGTTCATAGAGCGCGCGTTCATCAGTATACTTCCAAACAGCATGTCTATGGAAGTACTGTAGTTTCCAAATCTTTCCTCGACCTTTCACTAATGTTATGGGCGTTGTTCTCAAAATCACCAATTTTATAATAAATTCTAGGCAACTTCTACGATTTGAACCTTGCGCATGCTAATTTACAATCCTCAGTGAATTCTCAAATTTCTCACTTTTAGCCATCCAGATGCAACTTAGAATCGTTGCAATATGGACGTCCACGATTTAAAACCTTTATGGTCATAATTATCATGGATCTTTCGCAATATTTGTATAATTTCATATAACAGTGTTGAAAGGAGGCATCATACGGACCTAACTTGTGCAGAAAAAAAAAAGTATATTTGTCCTACTTTCCTGATATATTAAGTGCAAAAAGTAATCTAGTGACTTCCATCGCGGAAGAATCTTCAGTGATTACAGCCTTCGAAAAGTTTCGGTGTTAGCGAGTTCATTTCGTCTTCGACCTTTCCACTTCAGCGTCACTTCGAGGTCCTTCCCTTCTACATACCTATTCACCTTTTTCACAGATAAATCTCGAGTAGTTCATATCTAGACACAAAGATGACCCATCGTCACGCATCGTTCTTGTCCCAGTAGCTTGCTCGTGATAATATGTCCTTCTTGTCCCATCACCTATTCCATTCGTTTTGTTGTCTTGCAGCCTGGATCCATGGAGGTGGTCGTATTCGCTTGTACTTCGGCTTCTTTATGAGGGTATGGAAGTTTATTTCAGCTGTGGATATATCTCGTTTACGCGTGTGATGACTCATCTTTTTTGTGGTCTCACTCGATATCTTTTGATGTTTTGGAAATCCAGTTTAATGCTCGCTTCGTCCACTTGTCGTTTTCTATTTTTCTTATGTGATCGAGCAATTGGCGTTCATTTCTTGATAAGTTTTTTGCTGATCTTGAAGACTGGATATTCTTTGTAGATCTGAATTAAGAAAACCTTGGCTTGAGTGCGCATAATGGTCTTCAAAAGGCATCGCTCGATTGTCCTGAGTTTTGTGCACAAATTCTCGAGTATAGATGATTTATCAGTCTGCCGTGTTGTTTCAGTATAGCAGAGAAATAGAATATCTGTTGAGTCAAATAAGCACGTAGGTCAGCATCACTAATGTGATCGCTGACCCCCTCGAGAGCTCTGTAACCGACTTGCACTGCTCGTTATACATATTTATTGAACGTCCTAGGTTTACATTAGATGTGTTTTCCTCATTTTTTGATTTATCCAGAATAATTTATTCTCTTTCACACCAGTTGTTCCACATTTCTTCAGAATGATTTGTAGTCCAATTTTTTAAACCTTGCTTTGTCGTTGTTTCTGTGTCCTGTTTGAGAGAAAGATAATGTCGTATGCATGGCGAATGCTGGAGAGGACTCTTCCGCTAAATCCTTTTAGTCCAAATGGAAAGTCTCAGTTGATTAACTGAAAACAACACTGTAATGCTGTGGTGAGCATCTCTGGCTTTGCTATATCATCCTTGTATAATGACTACTGCAGTGAGGCGTTTTTATGGAGGAAATATCTGTACCTTGATTGACTAAGGTGGGCAAAATAACATTTTCTACACCCTAAAATGCTATCTCGTAGTCATCGATTGCTCAGACCAGAAGCAGGTGATATTGCGTACAAAACTCTACGACTTTTGAGGATTTTTGGATGCAGTCCATGCAGATAAATTTTTTGCCAGACCGAGTTTGGACTATAGCTTGCACTTCATCAAAGTTTTTTGAGGTATTGTTATCAGGTATGTCAATGGTTTATGGTAATCATCGTAAGGAGCTTATCAAGTGCAATCAATATGCTAGTGAAACGATAGTTACGAGGATCTCTACTTGGTTTTTGTTGCAAAGAGGCGCCAATATGTTCCATTTGAAAATATCACACCATTTGTTTTAATAGAAAAGTGTGAGTTTGCGTCGGCAGCTCGTAGAAGGTCGGACGAAATATGATATTTATCTGATTGAGAAGCTGTACCAGACGTCTTTCGTCTATTTATGGCTTGCTTCTCCAGAAAGGATTGTTGGTGGCGTTCTTCCAGTGGAAATGGTAGATGGGGTACAGCTGTTGATGAATCCAAATGTTTAAAATCTCTGTGTTGTTGACACCATCTTATGGTCGGAAATTGTAAATCACTCAATAACATGTCTTCATTGAACCAAGCGCAGAATTTTGCACTTAATGATCGCTACAGAATTTCTTCATGCTTTTCTGTTCTTTTAATATCTCTGGATTTCTCATCTGCCGCATATGAAGATACTTCCATATTGCAATTTCTGCTAATGATGTTGGCAACCATTTCTAACCAAGTGTTACATCTGGATCTTTGCACAACCATGTTCTCTTTTTTTGAAGTCCTTTGGTTCCATTTCGTAATGGTTAAGAAGTCGTCTTAGGATTATGACCAGTTCTTTCAGCTCGGAGAGCTTTTAGCAGCATCTCGGTAGTCCTCGATCGAAATCGCTCTTTCGCGCGCACTTTATGCTTAAAGCGATTCTTCATACGAGGAATCGATCTGATCTAGTAAATAAAAAGAAGACGAAACGATACATGTCGAATAGATTCCATGTTTTATTCTCTGCGATGTTATCGGTCTCCACATGAGCCGTACCGTTCAGCGAGTCTGACGTCTAACGCCAATGTTTTTTTTGGTAAAAGGGATTTCCATGGAAGCACGCGTAAAGTAGTCCTGTGAAACGATGTCTATTTTCATTTCTACATACTTATTCAAGATGTTCGATTCTGCAACCGTATTTATGTGCCTCTACACTTTGCATGGAAGTAGCCAGTACTAAATTTCTAGAAACAGTTGTTAAAGACGAGTCCCTCGAGATTTCACAAAAAGTATCCAGGTCCGTATGGAATCAGCCGTGAATGTAGGCCAGTATCAGTTAACGGGACCAATTTTCTTTTAACAAGGCAGTGCAAAGCATGGAATCGCAAAGTGGTGAAATAGAATTTCATGAGAATCAACAAGTTGAATAATGAAGGAGCAGACTATGAAGCCAACTTTGTCAATATTCGTTGCTGGAGTCATCTCAGTTAAGATGAAAAGGGCTCTATCGTTTATTTGCCTAGTGATTGTGTTCTTATTCGTTGTTCCTTGAAGGAGATCACATCTTGTTCGATGTGGTGTTCGACGTAATGAGGGGCATGGAGGTAGACTTTCGAATAAACCGACCTAACTTTGTAATCAGGAGCAGTCTTCGTAGCGAGTCACAGGTGTATCTTTGCTTTTTGGATCCGGTACTGTCTTCGTTTTTATCACGTTGAATATTAGTTGAGCTTTCTTTCCCCTGCTCTCCCCACCATTCGCCTTGCGTTCTGACCACCTAGACAATAGCTCTATCCTAAGCCGAGGCTTAATCCGCTACCCCGCAAGGATGAGGTGTAAACTTATCAGGCATCGAGGAATCTATCGTGGATGTCTACATGAATTCAATTTGTCGGGTGAGTACTGTTGTGAGAAAGAACCGGATGTTGATTCTGTTTCCTTTGCAACCGAACAATGCTTTATTTTTCTGTTACGAGCTGGATACCTTCTACTTGGAAACAATCACATCTTGAGAGTAATTCGGACTAGGTACCGTCTGATTCCTACATGTTTAGAATATTTAAAAACCTTCTTGCGGTTTGTTAAGTTACGCTACTTTAAACGGGGAATAGAGTTATAACTGAAGGTGGAAATGCTACACCAGTTTTTTCCTTCCAAAAAACAACATTTCATAAGGCGTTAGAAAGTATTCGACGTTGATCATTCCCTGAGAGATGCGAGCGCCATGCATTCAATTTCATCAAACATCATAGACGTGAATAAATATATATCTGGCCTGTACAACATTAGCGCTGAATGAACAATGTGTGAGGTCAGCATATAAAGTTTGGTGATCTCGAGGCGCAAAATCGAACCTTTGACTGACCCACTGATATTATAGGTTACCTTTAACTACTGCGCTACGCACGGCCCAAGCATGTAATAAGTAAAAAACTGCCACGGAACAAAACACTTCCTCTTTCACACACAAATTCGTATCTGAACATGGCTAAGTTTTTTGAAAGCGATTTAGGTTCTTCGCAAGCCCAACCTTTATTATTTGAAAGAGTATTGATTTCATTCTAGATATTAGGCTTTATGGGATATCTAGTTGTGCTATGTTGTTGACTATGTAGGGTCGGTCATTTAATGTGAGTCTCTATGTTGGAAAAAAAAAATAGTGTTAGCATGTTGTTCCTGTGTTTTCTTTCTGATGATAAAGGTTAAGACACTGCTTTCATCAATGATAGTGGTTTAAATATTGCCTTACATTTGTAGTCCAAAAACTGGTAGTAGTATAAATTTGTGACCAAACAGATCAATAAAGTTGGTTAAACCAGTAACTGAGGTTATTGCCCTTATTCGTGTGTTATTGTTCAATGCAAAACTCCGGTGTTTGTCAGGTCTGCCAGCGACTTGTCAGGAGATACGTGCTCAGAGTGCTGCTTCACAGTTGCTCGATGGCAACTACACGGTGCTGCTAGATGGATTCCCACTTATCGTCTATTGCCATCAGATGAACGAAACAATCCCGAAGTCTTACATCAATTTAAATGCGGAAACGAATTTTGCTGAGGTTTACGGAAAGCGGTGAGTTCTGTACCTGCGCTAGTTTTTAGAAACCTGATACCAGATGTCAACTATGTATAGTATAGCTTATTCAAAGGAAAACTCATGTGTTCTTTTAGAACGGTAGGACAAAGTCTGTTTATTATTTATAGTAGATAGTATTAGAACCACTAGTCTGCTTATGGAGCAAAAGCGCTTCTGTTCCATCAGGATGAAATTTTCACTTTCTGGAGTCAACCAAGCGTATTTTGTGCAACTTTTATTGTTTAGATTCGTAGTACAGAAGTGAGGGCAGATGAACAAGCGGTATTTCATTCATTAGACCACAATGATGTTCCCAAATGAGTTGTTGAAGTTCATGGCTTCCAGGACTTCGTTTGGAATTTTCGGAACTCAAGTTCTTCTTTCGATTTCATTTGGAAATTCTAATTGTGATAAAAAGTCAAGTGGCAGTTCGGAAGAACCATACTTTTTTTGAATATGTATGAAAAGGTCTCTTCCATATGCCGATCGCTTTCCAACTCTTCAAACAATCTAGTTGTCAAGGGACTTTCAGTAGTTTGTGAAAAACCGGCTTCATTCCCTAATTGTTAAGCAATAATATCTTAGCTCATACGAACTTCATCATTTTAAACATAAATCGTTGGAATCTGCAGATGTTCCCTTGTAAGAGGCAAGCCTTCTTACATTCGATGTTTTTCTTCAATAAGCAGACACAAGGTTGTTATTATAGAATTTATTAGGATACAATGGCTGACGTTTCGGCGGTTTCGCCTTCTTCGGAGCCTGCGAAGGTCAAATTGAGATGTGATCTACTCAGCCAAACACTTTCATAACCCCAGCAGACAAAACTTAACAAATAAATTTGTATTTGCATAGGAAACAGCTTCATTTAAACACCTACCGTTTATTTGTTGTAATTATTTAAGTTAGTTGGTGGATAGCAGCCGCACAGAGTAACACAGGCGAGGACTGTGCCTGTGTCAGGTCGTTGGATCGGCCTGAGGTATGGCGCCAGGTCACGCCTGATGACAAGACGCTCCTCCTTGTGATTCATTTTTGAATTTTTGGAATTGATCCAAAACGCTTCAAGAGTTTTACGCTCTGATGTTGTCGATTCCTGCGTGATGTTAGTGACTTCTACTTCAAAATCTTCTCCCGTGTGTTCCTGCATCCTATGCTCACCTAGTGGAGTGTTTGGCTTTAATTTAGATTTACCGACTAGGTGTTCTTTTATGCAGACTCAGAGCGGTCTATCCGCTTCGCTAACGTATTCGTCTCCGCGCGCCTTGCAAGAGATCAGATGGACTGTACCCGAACTCGTGCAATCACCGTATTTACTGTTAGTGCAAATTATGCACTCTTTCGTTGTACGCAGACGGTCATATAGATGGTTGCGAACTAGCTGACGTCTTAGAATGTGGATGGTATTTTTATCACTATTACGGAATTCTCTCTACCGGCCGCTATTAAGCAACGTTTTATGGCTGCACTTATTTCGTTTGAAATAAAGGGCAAGAGGACCGGAGCCTTGTCTTCGCTAGAGTTATCGCTCTGGGGCGTGAGTTTTCCTGTATGCCTATGCCGAAAAGCTACACTTTCGTAACCATTTGAAGTGACTATTTGGCGCGCCAGTTTCGAGGATTCTTCCCTCTGCTCTCGACCTGTGCACACGCTAGTGGCGGTTCGAAACATAATTCTTATAAACGCCCTTTTAGTGTGTGAGGGATGAGAGGAGAGGTAATGAACCACTATATTCTTACTGCTTGGCTTTCGATACCTTTTTGTGATGTAGCCGTTTTCGGATAAGTTAATTTGAACGTTTAGAAATGGAAGCCAGTTTTCTTTCTGTTTCTCACAGGTGAATTTTATGTACTTTGACTGTTCGTTCAATAACTCAAAGCGTTTGTCCATCTCCTCTTGTGTGGAGCAGATGACAAAACAATCATCTATATACCTACAGTAGAGTAATGGCGTGAGATCGATTACTGGTGCTTCCACTTTAGACATAAAGGAAACGGCAAGGGTTGGTGCTAGTCGCTATCCCATTGTCAACCCTCTAATTTGCGTGTAATATTTCCCAGACCATCTGAAGATCGAGCAGTTTAAGCAGACCTTTAAGAGGACTATAAGCTGCTGAATCGAAAGGCCATACATGTTAATTGCTCCTTCTTGTTGCTCAAGGAGCTCGCGGATGGCTTGCATTGCGGAGTCGTTCGACACGTTAGTGAAGGGCAGTAACATCGAACGACTCCATAACGTATGCGCTTTTGGGACGTGCGTTGCGCAGGTGGTTTAGGAACATTTGGGTGTTCGTGAGATGGGCTGGTATGTGCTTAAGCAACTGGTTGAGGTTTAGATTTATAAACCAAGCAATTCTATCCGTAGGCCCGTCTACACAACTGGTGATGAGTCTAACTTTAAAGCTGGAAGGGTCAGTAGACGCCAGATCATCAGTGGATATTAACTTATGGGTTTTGATAAGTAAGTATAAGACGGGACATGCCGGCACTTACATTTTCTTTTATACAAAGCATTTTTCCCCTGGTTGTTCCATTAAGGTGATAGCGTAAAGTTTGTTTTATAAGAGAATGAAATTTCTTCTATAAGTACATCAGATTCTCAGCTCTTCAATTACACTGTCTATCGGAAAATACTTGGTGGTCTACGAAAATTTGTCGTTTTCGTCATTGTCTTGGGGAAACGTATCTCATGTATCAGTGAAATTCATCAGCTGAAGCAGGAAGGGTTGAACTCTACAGATTTTTGCCAACCACATAGTGTTTTCTTTTCCTACGACGACGGAATTTTGTCTCTTTTTCACTACTTTTATCGAAGCTGTTATCTCGAGCAACGAAGCAACTAAACAAGCTGGCCAGCATGATGTAATGGTGTCACCGAAGGCGTCATTAATGTCTGCAGCTACTGCGCTTTTGTTAAGAATTTGGAGTTTTGTTTAATCATCATCTAGACTTTATAATTGCTCTTCTAGGGAGTGGTAGTGCAGTGGTAGTGACGCCGTTCAGAAGCAGTGCGCTGGTTTCATCCCACCTCCGGCTTACAGGGCTTCCCATTCCACCAGGGTCGGGAAATTGGCAGTAAATTTGTGCAAGAAACTTCCTCAAATCCGAGAGGGCCTTACCACTGTCTGTAGTGAAGACCTAGGAGCTCACTAGCCTATCCCAGGATTCCACGGAGAATAGAAACGTCCTGCATTCAACATCGTTCGTAAAGAAAGCCAAAATCATCCGGCAGCTGACCAATTTGCAGGCAGGCACCAAATTGTTATGGTGAAATTTATCCCGCCGCGAATAGGTGGATTCAAATAAAAGATCGTAGCATACATTTATAGACAAGGTTCTTAGTGTTGCAGAGAGTGAAATAATTAGGTAGTTATTGCCTGTTCAATACAAAGTGGAATAAATAATTGTTAAATTTTATATTCTAAAAGTAGCACTGTGAGTAAAGTTGGTAATGGTTTTCAGCTTGATATACCCACATACTTGTCCATTCAACGGTGAAAGGAACGATTCATGTCAGTGTTCTGACGATGGAGATGCAAATGCCGGCTTGACTCATTTCCACAAAGTTCGTGTCGATCTGCTCAACCGGAAAATCAACAGTAGGTTTTGAATTGAATGTGATCAGTGAACGTTAAGCACCACACAGCCATCTTTGGATTGTTTTAGGAAAAGCATTATGTTTCGAAAATCTAAAGAGTTTGCATGTGTTCCGTTAGATAAACGAACATAAAATATGCGATTTATAAGCGTTCTAGTCAAACAGAACAATGAGCGCGTGTAGAGAGTTGGAGGTGCCCTGCAACACAGACGTGAAGTCGATCCCGCGCCTTTGGTCCACCAAGCTTCCCATCACTCCGGGGTCTTCAAATTCATACCAGACTTGCCTGGTACGATAGTAGCACCGGCTCGATTCATCGGCAGGTCACCCCTTGTTATTGTTAAGGGCCGGATATGCACGCAACCACCTGCAACGGTACTTAGTGAAGTGGAATGCATAGCGCAGGGATTGATGAACACCGAAAACTTTATCCATTTATCCTTTTATAGTCAAACAAAATCAACCATCTTTATAAGCAACAGTTTTCACATCCTATTCACATTCACCGGAATCCGCAACCTCTGCAATATGCACTTGCACACAATTCACGAACGGTTACAAGCGTTGTAGCTCCACAAGTGTAGGAACATGGAATTTACAACTCTACTATTTACAGCTTTTTACAATTTGCTAGAATTTACAACTTTACTGTTTACAGTTTTTTACAACTTGTTCTTTTTGCGTAATACTGAAATATCCTAAACAAGAATCGTTGTTGCTCTGACTGCATCTGGTTCTGATCCGCTTGGCAACTTTTATAGCAAGCGTGAAGCGGTATATTGTTTATGCCTTGTAACAGTTTACATAACACCTCCACTTTGTCTTGCTATTAGAGTCTCCTCCAGACCATGCTTAACTGAAGGTGAACATACTCTATTCGTCCGAAATATGATTTCATCTCGAACACATTTACTGAAACCTACCCGTGGAATCGATCCCCACGCCCATGGTCCACCAAACCTTCCATCCCTCCGGGGTTACCAAACTTGTCTGGGAGGATAGCAGCACTGGCTCGATACATCGGTAGGCCCGCAGTGAGTCATTGTAATGGCGAGATATGTATTGAATCACCTTCAAACGATACTAAATGAAGTCGAATGCATGGCGCGTCGCTCAGGGATTGATCAACGCCGAGAGCTTTATGCTTTGTCCTTTCACCCGTTTTACGCCATTGATTTCTTAGTGGAAGGTATCGTATTACGGTCAGTAGGTGTCTTCGTTGGTCGAACAAGTCATGCGTGATGGTCGCCATCATGTAGTCAGTCAAACTACTTCTTCAAATAAAGAAAAAAATTTTTTTCGAAATGCACTACAATGCCATGTGTGGAATCACCTCTTTTCTACAATTTTGCTTCTCGTGTGGCATATCTTGACGGATTGAGACCCTTCCTGTAAACAGCACCAAGCGGTCAGTGCAGACCTCCTTGTTCGATCTATATGCTCTTACAATTCCAGATAACAGGATCAATATGCACACTCTTATTGAATAGCTTGTCTCGTCCATCGTACGTTGCATTGTCCTTGGAAATTGGGGTATACCAACAACTTTTCCAATCCAAATTTATCATTACTTTTGACTCGAATAGCATTGGATTTGTAAATAGGAATGGACTTGAGTAATGACTGAAATTTGGCAGGTAAGCATTTCTCATTTGGAGATAGAGGCCAGTGAATCTCTTCATCCCTCCAATTGTCGCCGATTTTCTTGGATTCCGTCGTTTGTCCATATCTAGTTTTTTTTCCCCATTTTACATCCATATTACATACAGAGCCCAAATGTCGGCTATAAATAATTCATAAAATTTGTTGGCCTTGTGAATCCAAAGCGAAGCAGTAGGTTCACTCGAAATTCACCGTCATCGAAAGTCCAGTGTTCTCGAGGCACCGCGTAGTCAGACTACTGGTCACTCGCAGCATACGACCACATCATCATGAACAGTCTTATCTCCATCCTTCGTCTAATTTTCTTCAGCCTTTTCGATGAGGACCAGAAAAAGTTTTTTATTTTCCTCAACTTCTCTATTGATAAGCGGTCATTCAAAGGCGAGAATCAACCAGTTTTTAGCCAGCATAGTTTAAATCTATGCAGTTAAGTTTTTCGACCGGTAACTAATGGTTTTTTATTTTTCATTCGCTTCGATAATTTATAGTTATCATATGGAATTGCTCCACATGAAAAACACCGAAATATACTTTGCATGTCTTAAAAACTGTGAACGGATGGTGGACGGGTTTTTTTTTCACTTTACACAAGAGTTGGATATTTCTCAAAAGCATGGACATATACACAAGCGAACAGTGAGTATACGTAAAAGTGTACAAGGTGTATTGGTTTCAATGCTCACTGTATACGACGAAGAATTAAGTAGCATCTTATGAGAGCGGTATTCAAAATTTGGAGTAGTTCTGTATGTGTTAAGGTAAGTAATCACCACTGGGTCAATTGGTCACTATAATTTTAAATAACGACCTTTAGACAATAACAGCAGTTTTAGTTAACGATATGGCTTTCTCCAACACACTCTACGGTTCATTTGTACCGTACGGTACGGCTGGTGATTGCTACAGCATGAAGGATTGTCCTCAGGTATGAAATCCCTGTTGTTACTAATCCAGCGGTTTCCTAGTAAGTGTTAAAAATTCCACAGCAATTTATTTTTAGGGTCGATTCTCTATAGATCTCCGTGGAACGGGGTTGAGAATTGTTGACGATTTACAGTGGGAAGACAAAGGGCATCGAACCACGTCAAGAATTGACAGATCACAGGTGGAAATGACAAGTTATCATGAAGTCTTATTTTATAAGTTGCTTAGAAACTGTCTCCTTCACTGTGATCGGTGAACACAGTCAGTGAAATATTTGAATCCCTATCATTTTACGTCATTGGTCGAACCGATTCCATTCTTGGTTTTCTTTTAGAATGTTTGAGAAACTCAGCCACTTCAATTTATCGTGGTAGAAGCAAAGACTCCTCCAACGGTTTACCGCCTCATCGTGGCTGCGAGGTGTTTCTGGGTGTCGGGCTGCGATGTACAGCGGGGGACTCATCCTCTCAGGAGGGTCTCCCAATCTGAAGAGTCCGGCGTTTCCATCAGGAAACTCAGCTGAGAGCAAACCAATATCGGGATCAACCACCGTCCTGGTATCAAACTAGTCGTATGGTGGGAAATCTGTCTTTGTTCACCAAGACGGCGTCTGCCTGTGGTGGTGATGACCTGAGGCAGAGCTTGGCTGGGCTGACCTCAGGACTCCAGAGAACCACAATGGCTGAACTAGCAAAACTCCGAAAAAGTGGAAACTATTCTGGGGTCCGCACAGCCGGTGAAGACGAGCTAACCAAGTATCCAAGTAACTATGGACTAAATGCCAGAAAATCTGACTGCTATACAACGTTTTCCGAAATTGTTTGTTTTATTACACATATATCGATTTAAAGAATAACGCCGTAATCGATGGACGATGTGGTGGTTACTGTGGCAAGTGTGCTCCCGACAAGTACAAAGGACTCGTGTTCAGCATAGATCAGAAACAACTGGTCGCTGACGGCAGCTGACAACTGCCATCCCGCCATGTACATCTTCTCACCGAAACCTTTTAGGAAAGCATGATTGTTCCGTTAATAGTGAAACGTAGGTGATCTGTTGCAGTATTTGTGATTTTGTTTATTTGTTTATTATTTTATGAGCCGATACTTTATACTTCACTACTCACCGGGCACTAAACTAGCCATTTCTCTTATTCACTGCCCACTTCGAATTATTCGATATCGTCCTGTGCTATTGCTGTGTCTGTACTTTACTCTATTCACGCACTTATTGATTTTTCTTTTTGATTTGAATATGTTAGATTATCATTCTTTTCTAGGCTTTTTTCTTGAACCTGCCTTTCACGTACTGCTTTCTTGTGCTCAAAAATCTAGGCATAACCTTCGCATTTCGTTTTGCCCAAAAGGGTGGGAGCACTTCCTTAGTGAGTATTACTTCATTGCTTCATTCACTCAGTTTTTGCTGTCTTTTCCTTTCCCCATGCGACTGTGAATATAACTGTCAACATATGCCTCATATGATAACTACAACTTCCTAATGCTGCCAATCTGCTTCGTCCCTCACTCACACAAAACAGATTTTTTACGGTTGTTCATTCGATACTGTTCACTCTCAACTTTGTTATTTATAATTTTTCATTTTAATTATTAAGTCATATTTGCTTTAAATACTGCCGTGCATAATCATTCTATTTCTGCCTGTAAGAGTGCAAATCGTATTGTTATAGCTTTACAGAGTTATAAAGGTAAATTATTATATATGCAGTAGAAGATTTATCTTCGTAAAACTGAAAAATGACATGGAATGTACAAGTGGAAACCTGGGTTTCTAATACGCGCAAATGGTAATTCAAAGGTAATCACGTGAAAATTCTTCATAGTACCGAAAGAATTCGACTACAAATGTAACAGCTGATGATAATTTGATTGAATACAGTCAGTAAGTGAACATTGAAGAAAGGTGATACTCATAAAACAGCTAAAGCAAGTACAATATAAAAATCACGACAAAACTTCAGAAGCACGTTCGCTCCATGAAGAATGTGACCGAAGAGCGTTCGTAATACAGTTTTTAAAATACTAACTAAACTTTGATCATAAAAAATCAACTTCGTAAGAAGACTAACGAGCTATTCACGCTTACGACCCAAGTGGAACAGGATTTGGAGAGTCGCCCCACTTCAAGGAGATCCAACGGATAGTTTTCACATTGATTTGGGGCCCAATGAGAGGATTGAGTTGATGCAGGTATATCTAAAATAATAATACTGTTATTGCGATTTGCACTCGACACATAATTTTGAGCAATTTTAGCGAAGTTAACTAAAACAAGAAAAAAGCATGAGACTGATAATCCCGTAGTGTAAAGAGGTAGTTAATCTCCAACAGCGTAAGAAAGAAAGTTGTAAGGAAAATAGTAAGCATTGCAACAGGCTGGTGTCAGTGTATCGTCTTAGAATTACGAGATAACTAGATCAGTGAGAAACAATAAATTCTAACCAATCTAAAGAAATTGAGCGACTAATCACACTGAAATGGCAATTCCTTTACTGAAGTTTACTTAATACTACTGCTTCTGCTCAGCGCTCTCAAACGTTCTTCCCAATAATAGCTACCATAAAATCTCAAAAATGAATTATAGACTGTTGCTTTTTGTACACTGAATAACAATAACGTTTGTTTATGTTCAGTGTAACGGGTAAAACGTCAACTCCCACCATCGCCAATGCTCAAACTTATGAAACGAAAATCAGCTCAGTTTCCTTACATCGTAGAGTTTAGAAAATAAAAGTCATTGTGGGGAAAATATTAAGGTTTAACATAGTACTCGAAGTATAATCTGAAGTTCAGCACGTATTCAACGAAAAGAAACAAGTTCTGCACGATATCCTTTTCTTCTCGATCACTCCGCCTTGCTCCATTTTCAGTTTAACTAACCAGATTTTACAACAATGGATCACAACAAGTTTGTATATACTGAACAGTTAGACTTTTTGGGATCCTCGGAGCTAGCAGTAAATTAATGCCAACTATCCCCACCATCCATAGATCTCCCTCATATGAGGGATCTCGAGTCGCAAGGCTACGTGGTGGCGCGTCCACAGGTGGCGGATAGGAGGTTAATCGCGGACCAAAAGCAACCTTTGCTTCCCTGAGACGTAGGTGGATCCATGGAATGGACTCCTTATTTCTGTTGCGCCGATTTGGCACGTAGTTTCTGTATTTGTTAGGCGTATTAATGCATGCGTGTGTGGGTGCGTTCTCCCTTATGCGGATTGTATTCTATGAGTCAATTCGGCTAAAAGTCTGCAATCAAGTGAAAGGGTAGTATATGGGAGGTGCTTAGGAGTCGCCTCAAACAAACAAGCTCCATGTCCACTTTGGAAGAGACTGGTAACCTGCCCGTGAGTATACTACGTCCACAGCTCAGCAAGCTATACGTGGGTATCAAGAAGCTAAACACAGTAAAATAAACGGGCCTCATTCCCCTGACCACGAAAGATAGCCTGCTGAAATCTCAGGGCCAATGGAAGCTGCCTAGATCGCGAAGAACTATGGTGATGATTTGTAACTACAATGCACGTACACTTGTATCCGAGTCCTCGATAGAAGACTTGCTCATGCAAGCAAGAAGGATAAGGTACGATGTCATCGGTCTCGCCAAGACGAGGTGACACCGCCCATTCAATGCAGTCTATGACACCAAGAACTGTTCTTCGGAACATGCGACAGTAGAGAGTCAGCGGCGTCGGTGTTCTCGTCAACACGAGTTTGTCTATGAACATCGATTCATTCGAACAGCTTGCAACCCGAGATTAAAAAGATGTGGATCAACACCAGCTTTGACAATCTTCGTCGTTTACGCGCCGACATCAAACTATGACAAAGAAGAAGTCGAAGCGTTCTACATAGACTTGGAAAAGTTCTACAGAAAAGACCACCGGAGAAAACCTTCAGGGTCATCATTGGAGATTTCAACATTAAGAATGAACCAAGAAGATCGTCTGAAGAATTTCACATTGTGATCCGCGGATTAAAATGGAACGAACGGGGTGAGCGGCTCTCTGAGTTCATCATGACGACCAAGACAATCTATGGTAACTCGTAATTCCACAAGCCCCACTCTCAGCGCTGGGCGTGGAGGTCTACCAGTGGAGAGTACCCTAACGAAATAGACCACATCACAGTGAATATAAGGTTTTGCCTAACCGATGTAGCTGTTGTTCAAAAATTATACACGGGATCAGACCACCGTCCTCTTCGTGCAAAATTCTATTTCTCGCGGAAAGGAGAAAAAGCCGCTAAATTCCAAAACCAAAGTCCCAGAACCACCGCAAACTAGGATTTATTCAACTCATTAGTCGGCTGTTGGGAAGATGCCGTTCTCGATAACAACGACGAAGAATACGACCGGATCATTCAACATCTTCACGTTAGCGCTATGAAAGCTCAGAGTTCGAAAGTCACCAAGAGACGTTTGTCTCCAGAAACACTCAAGCTGATACGCCAGCTTGAAATCGCACGTGCTGCAGGCAACCGCGAACTGACGTCCAAACTTGCAAAACAGTGCAGACAGGCGATAAAAGAAGATCTTAAAGAGAGAAGAGCAGCAGTAATGGTCGAAGCCGCAGAGGCTGGGAAAAGCATTCGCAAAGCCCACCGAAGCATCGCCAATTACAACACTAAGATGATTGTACTCCGACGCCCAAACGGAACAGTTATAGCGTCTAGAAAGGCAATAGAGAAAATCATTCACGAATACTACTCGGATCTCTTCGATAGCCACGTCCACCTCCTGTCATATGAAATAAAGAAGGATGGATATGTTGCACCATCGGTTCCACCTTCCGAAATCCGACATGCCATTTCGTCGGTGAAAAGTTGAACAGCATCAGTTCTGGACGGGATAGGATCAGAACAGTTGAGGAACCTACCGCCAGTCCTCGCAAACACACTGGCTCGGCTCATCACACGCTACCTGTCTGAATGCAAAGTCCCTACTCAGTGGAAGACCAGCAAAACCGTGTTATTGTTCAAGAATGGTGACCTACACGATATCGGCAACTATCGCCCAATCTTCTTGCTGTCTGTCGTCTACAAACTTTTCACTCGAGTCATCCTAAACAGGATTGACAGAACACTGGACGAAAGACAGCCATGTGAGCAAGCATAGCTTCGAAAGAGATTTATTACGATGGACCATATCCACACGAAAACAAGGCTCATTGAAGTATCGCGAGAGTACAAAAGACTGCTCTGTCTCGCTTTCATCGATTTACAGAAGACGTTCCATTCAACTGAGATAGAAGCAGTCATGGAAGCCCTTGACAGTCAAGGAGTCCCTACTCAGTACTTAAAGATTCTTCGTGAGCTGTACAAAAATTTCGCAACCAAGATTTCACCATTCCACAACGATATTAACGTTGACGTCAAACGAGAAGCCAGGCAAGGCGATACCATGTCTCCAAAATTATTTACCGCCACCCTCAAGAACGTCATGCGAACATTGGAATGGGGCAATATGGGAGTGGAAATCGATGGTCAGTAGTTACATCATCTGCGCTTTGCTGATGACATCGTCCTTATAACACCAAACATTAGCCAAGCGGAACTTATGCTTGCCGACTTTGATAAAGCCTGTGGAAAGATTGGTCTTCGACTAAATCTCACAAAAACGATGTTCATGAAGAACGGATTCGTTTCGTATGCTCCATTCAAGCTCAACGGAACGAATATCTCCGAATGTTCCGGTTATGTCTATCTAGATCGGGAAATCCATATGAACGACTTAGCTCCAGAGTTGAGCAGAAGGAAACGAGCGGTCTGGGGAGCTTTTAAGAGCATCGAGGATGTAGTGAAGAGGACAAAGAACGCCCGACTCCGTGCTCACCTTTCCGACTCAACGGTACTTCCCACCTTAACATATGCCTCAGAGACCTGGTCGCTGCGTAAGCAGGATGATAGATCCTGTTCTGCACGCCAAACAGTCGAAGATAAGGTGGGCCGGATACGTAATGCGTATGAATGACAACCGATGGACAAGAGCCGTTAGTGACTGGATTCCTCAGGATATCAAACGTAGTGCAGGAAGACCACCGACCCGATGGTCAGAGTTCTTCACGAAGAGTCCCTAGAGCGAGTAGAATCCACTGGTCTACTCTTGCACGCGACAGGAAAAAATGGAAGATCTACTGGCACCCGCTCGAGTCACTCGACGATGAATGGGACTACGGGTGATACAGGTGACATGTGATCCCCACCATTTTTGAAGGAAAATAATCGCAGGACAGCAAATGTTCGCCCGATTCACTTTGGCCATCGTTTGTAGTAATACTCTGATAAACTTCTAGAACGGTAATTCCGACATTTGACGCGAAGGAATATTGTGCAAACAAGAGTTCTGGTATCAGTCCAGTGCCAACTACGTTGGAGTTTGCATGATTCTTCTAAAGACAAACTGTCAAACTTCCAATTGCCAATCTAATTTGTAATGCATGATCACAGCTCATGTTAGTAAAAGCTAATCAAGATGTTCATCTTATTTTCACAATACTTCTTTCAGCCCAATGTCGGAATAACCGTTCTAGAAGCTTGCTAGGGCATTGCTACAATGGCCAAGGTGAATCGGGATAACATTTGCTTGGTGGGAATACCTGGCATTTATTCACTGCTGGCTCCGAGGTTCTCAGATATAAAAGTTTCTACGATCAACCATGGCTTGCACTTAATGCCAAATAGACTTCCATATACCAGAATCCTAGTACGTCATCAACTAACCAGGAAGTTTTCCTTTTGTAAATTAAAAGGGTGTATGAGTACAAAAAATTTCTAATACGTACCATGATCCAGAAAAGATGGCAGCAGACGGCAGTCATGATGATCATAGTCTGAATGATTCCTAAAAGCAAGAGTTTCTCATAAAAACGAATGGTATACATAGATTAAAATAACAATAATGGAAGTAATTCCGAATATCGTCGCACAAAACATCAGACCCTCAAGGATTTTCTATAAGAAGCGAGGACAGAACATACCCCTGTTGGGTCCTTTGGGAACAAGGAATGGACCACCAATGCCAATGAGTAACCAAAATGCAGTCACCGCCACGAGAGGGATGACCACACCCATCTGAAACGTGAACTCCAACCACGATATCGATATCACTATCGAAACGTCATCGTATAAGGAAACATCGCACAAACACAAACGAATACATGATAGGTTAAACTGTCTCAAAACATTAAGGATGGCTTCGCTCTAGAGCCACAGTGATTTTCGTACTGAACTAGACGTGTTTTTAGCTTAAGCAAAAGTGGAGCAACAGTTTTTTCCAAACAAGATCGAGTCATGAGGTCCCAACAACGATTACCTACTTGGACACTTGAATGATCCGCCCTCACTGGTTGTGCGGACCCTAGCATAATTTCTATTCTCTGGAAATTTGCTGGTTCAGCTACCGTGTTTCCCTGGAGTCCTACGGTCACCCTGGCCAAAGTCCGCCCTAGGTCACCACCACAGGCAGTCCACGCCGTTTTGGATCACAGGGAGATTTGCCGCCACGTAACTAGTTTGATACCAGGAAGGTGGTGGATCCTGGTATTGATTTACTTTTAGCTGGGCTTCCTGATGGAAACGCCGGATTCCCAATCAACTTGGGAGACACGGCAGGCGTGATGAATCCCCCGCTGTACATAGAAGCCAGACGCTCAGGAATACCTCGTAGCCACGATGAGGCGATAAACCGTTGGGAGGCTTACAACGATTACCTAATAAATATTTCGTCAAAAAAAGACGTCATACTTTTAAATATCGAGATTTCCCCACTTTTTTGTTGTTTGGTTCAGTCAACCAATTAAAAATTACTTATAAAAAGGAATATGGCAAGAACTGATCAGAATGATTGCTCCACTTCCTAGTGGGACTGATCAAAGCGCCAAGGTAACTCCCTCTGTTTGATCAGCAGAACTTGAAAGTGGAACATTTGTTCTGCAAAATAAGCGCCACATGTCTGAAATTGAAAAGGCTACCTAGAAGAACATAGGACAATGGACGAAGCATATGAGAAACCACGAAAACAACTGAATCTCGTAGTGAAGTACCAGCAGTGAAACGCCAACGACGTGATTTTCCACTCACCCGGCGATGAAAAACAGAAAAAGCTCACAGAAAATCCGCCTCACCAACCTGGACACCAAGCAAGCATCTATATCCAATAAAAAACTGCCCTAGAACAGCCTAAAAATCGGTAATGTTAAAAAAAATAAACAACATGGACGAAAAACCAATCGGAAAATTGCCGAGTGAGAGCTCCGACGGTCTTCAACTGCCGACACCGACAGAACCAGAGATCGAGTCGCCTCCAATACACGCCATACGTCCCACAGATCGCCCGCATGAGTTCTGAGAGTTGTTAACAAGTTCCCTCTCAGACACTTAACTGTCTGTCCATGTACAGTCTGCCCATCAGGTGGTCAACAACAGGAAATCCAGAGCACCTCCGGATATAGGAGATAACTGATCTGCAGTGTGGCGTATTCGAAAGAGTGTGCGGAAGTGTATGCGGTCAAAAACCGTGTGGCACGTCCATGTTTCTGTGACTCTGTTGCCGTGGGTGAGCAAGGAGGGCCGTGCCACTACGCTTAAACGATGGCTTGCTTTTCATTTCGCAGTTTAGGTTGATGCTTTTTTAGGACTTATTGACGGTTCAAGTCTAAGACGATTGTTTTCCGTTCCTGCTTGTAGTCCTTGTGTCCTAGGTGCTTGTAAAGTTGGCATAGGTGCTTTCCCATTGCAAATCTCTCTGTACGTGATTGTGCTCTACTCGTTTTTTACGTACCGTTTTCGTTGAATGGTTTGATACTGTGGCTGTATACGTCTATTTCAGATCGCTAGAATGCGGAAGTTATGTCCGCTGATGGGTCCCAAGATGTCCGCCTTCTGGTATGTCTTCATCCATATGTAGAATGCATTTTTAAATCGGAAGATTTTAGATCTCTTTTTTTTAAATCTTTGGATAACTGCTCATCAACCAGAGCCGACTAGTTGGATATTGGTCAAGAAAAATCTAATATTTCGATGCTTGTATTACCCGTGACCTCTGTCCATGCTTCTGGGAGATCTCATCGAGGGTGGGTGGGCGAGGGCCACGCATCTAGAAGACCTCATCGAGTCTACTGTTTGTTCCTTTTTTTGATGGTTGGATCTGCTCTTGTTGTCGTCACAGGCAGATGTAACTGATAACGATTTTTTTCGGACTTCGCTATAATAATCAGATTTCGAAACGATCACATAGGAAATTCTGGAAGAACGAAGTAGGATACGAGATACAGGCACATCACTTCATTCACTTAATGATACTCTTCGAAATCATCCTCCAGAAGTTCCCCAGTCTGCTGTATTTCATTGCAACATGTTGTTTCTTTTTCTCAGTATATGAATGTTCCCGTAGAATTTCAATGCAAGGAAATGTTTGCAGACTATTGGAAGCTAAAATTTCTTGAGGATCTCAGCGTCAATGCTAGGTTGCTACTGAATACGTTGGCAGGTTTTTTAATGCTTTTGATATTGCTGAATTGAAGACAGTTATTAAGTCGAATATGGCAGTTCACCGTGCTGCAATTCCGCTTTCATCGTTGTCCTCCTTACAGAGTACTCGTGGGTCCTTTCGCTGAATTCTTTGTTCTTCTCTCCATTCTGAGCATGAAGACCGTCAACCAGTTCAGACCGAATGGCATCCATCTCTAGCCGTTTGCGCACCTTTTTCAGTATTCAGCAAGAGTTTACGTGATGTATGTGTTACTCTTTTGTCGCACTTTTTAGTGAATCCTTTGGATATAGTCCGGAGAAATCAATCTGTTAAGTTTCCCGGGTTTCAAAGATGTCCTTCGCATACTCATCGAAGATGTACGCATGGCCTTATTGAATGTCCTTAGTAGAGATAGGGATGGGGCTTAATAAAATATCTAATATGTGCACTAATTAACCGTATTTTTGGAAGGCCGATGGTATGTTTCGTTTGTTTCATTGTCATTTTAAACGCATCAACTTTTGGGTGGTTTTGGATAATTTCCGACAGCTTTCCACTAATTAGGAAACTTGAAGAGTTGAGAACTGAGTAGACTTATGCAACAAGTCTTTTCGTATCGCTCCTTCCAATTCTAATAGCTTTTCCTATTCCCATAAGGGTTAAATAGATTTTCTAAAACACTTTCTCAGTTATAACTTTGTGTTTAACATTTACGCGATGGTGAGCCCTCTTTGGGAGTGGTACGATATGGAGATGATGTCGCTTCCGAGTGTTAATCAATACCTCTCAGCAGTTGGTGAATTTTGTAGATTATACTAGGAACTAGAAGAATGTACACATCTTTGCTTGCGGGATAGAAGTCATCTTTTATCGTGATGGAATTCTGATTCTCTGGAACCTACAAAGCTTACCTTCTCCATTTTTTTCTTTGCATCAAAGCTCGTATTTGGAAAAGGAATGTAATTAATGGAGAAGGATTAATTTGGAAACAGGCGATGGTTAGAGGAAAAGCGCAACTATTTCTGGGCAGACATGCATTACCATCGACACATGTTGGCTATTTTGTGTGAAACAGCTGCTCCTAGACTGCATGGGGCGTCTGGTCTTGTTTTGTTCATAGAATTTCATGCCGGGTAATCATCACTTTGCGAGTGAGACTTGTTTGCGAAGTTACTAATCACCTGCGCATAGGACTTCGCTGTTCTAGATGGGCGATCACTTTCTCGGGTTTATCCAGTTGTTATTATTATTTGTTTTGCTAGTGAATAGTGAATCGTTGGTGTCCTTTGCAACTGGAAATCGTAGAACATTACATGGCTGCCTCGATGTTTGTATTTTTAGACAGGATACTAGCAAAATATATGTATTGTTTTAAATTTTTAAATATTTTGAACACGGCGCAGCAATGTTTTCAATGTTTCAGTATGGTGATGTCTATTTGGGGCGTGATTTTCCTGGGTCTGCTGGGTGTGTTCTTTTACGTACAAGCTGTGACACTCTTCCCTGATCTTCATTTCTCGGAAGAGACCAAGGATGGTGGTCATGTTGCGCCAAGTGTCGAGTATGTTTATCTTTCCTATTTGCTCTTTGAAATTAAGGTTAAAAACGAGTTACATAGTTATTCACATAGTTTATCCTCACATTTTATGTTTTCTGTTTCGTATTGATAGGCAAAGGGCTATGAAATCAGTTTTGCCATCATTCTTTCCTTGTGAAAAGAAGGTATTCGCATGGAAACGACAAATCTTTTCCCATATGTTCTTCCTGGAGAGAAATTAGGTAGTACATGGCAATATAGATGCACTTCTTGTACTATGTTACTGTGTAAAACCATGTAATTTTGTAGAATGTAAACTGGTAATGTTAAGTTTTTAAGGCGTAGTTGATTTAAAAGAAACAGCAACAGTAGTATCGGACGAGCTATGGACGAAAATGCGTTCTAATAGTTTCGTAAGATACAACGGCGATCTGTAGGTAGGTGTGTACCTCTCAATAATTCCTGTTCTTTTAGAGATATTGAGACCAAGTATAGCGAGAAGGCAATGCAATGCTGGATAGCGGCAGGAATGTATGGTGTGACCCTGATACTTGTTTTTTGGCAAAACAAGTACAATGCAACAACGGTATTCTAAGTATCATTACTGTGATGGCAGCTTCCATGTTCAAATTTGTATTTATTCTCACAACTTTGGTAGCTTAGCATAATTAGTAGATCCTCAGGTTTATGACAACATCAGATACAATTCCTTGAACCTGGTGATTTCTTTCACTTGTTTGTTGAATTCCAAATGTACATTGTCTACTTCGATATTGTATGACTACTTTACTGATTATAAGTAATGAATTCCCTTATGTCTCTCCTTCGGATTCTCTTTCTCTGTGAGGCAAAGTTTTAGGTTTTCAGTCAGTGGTCAAAAACGCGTTTTATGTCTTGAGTACAAACCTGACACGATGATGACTGTAAGTTTAACTCGGTAGTGACGTATCTGAGACTGGTTTTAATGACTGCGAACGCTTTTGATAATTTTTTGAATGAATTCATCGTATGGGATTGTGCCATGCTTGTCATGGGCAAAGCAAAGTTTTGTAGATATTAATCTTCTTCATTCACTAACGAATCACAAATTGTATCGCATTGATCTGTGGAACCTGTTGAAACAACCGACACAGAAGTTTTTGTATTATATCATGTGCAGATCGAAATGTGGCAGCAACAAAGTCCTAGTCATTGCCATTCGTACATGGGACAGAAGAAGAGTCCTGAATCTGACTCCTGTGACTCTTTGATCGTACGAGCTCTTACTAGACATTAAAGAGGATTCAAAATGATGCAGTCGCAAAACGAAGAAAAGGAGAAAGCGTTTGTCCCGCGAGCTCCCTTACAACCACAGTTTTTGCTTTTTCTCTACTGCACATTATTTTTTTCATGGCAGCGTACTATGTAAAGTACAACTACGGTGATTTTGAGATATCTGCAAAAACCGGAACCCATCATCACCAACCTGTAGAACATGATGTGTCACATCAATAGAATATCTTTGTGCATTAGACGTATGGATACACCAGAAGGTACCACTGTCGGATCTTATACTACTCTTCAGTTTTTTACGTGTGGAAAGAGCTACATCTCTCAGTAACACAGCAACCATTCATTGCACAAGGTGGAGATACATACTTCACAAATAGAAGCAACTGCTCGTTTTTATATCTACTTTCATACATATAGTAGTGGTCAGGTTGAACAAGCCTAAGCAGAGTTCCAGCAATCGAGGGAGCGTAGTCCTTATAGTATCTTCACTTTTAACGTACTTTAAGTCCAGTTTTTAACTTATTGTACTACAGATCCAATTTTTAACCCTGCCACTTCATTCCTGATGATTGGATTTAGTGCATCAAATGCGCAGTACAATTCCGCAGTTGTGCCAGTGTAGGAAGGTACCTTGTAGCCTATCTAACACGTTCGTGACGCTGTGATCTTTATGAGTCGTAAGAAAATAATGTCTGCTTACAAGTTTAAATATACATATCTCACAGTTTGATCAGAACTGTCAGAATCTTCAAATCTTTGCCAGGACTATAAAAGCTCTCTTGTTTTACCATGATAATGCTGCGATCTTCTAAAGCTCATGACGTGTAGTTCTTCTACTCTGTTGCTTCGAGGCTCATATCTCGAACACGAAAACAAATGAACAAGCAGGATCTCGCAGCACAAGATGGTTTTCCCCGTTTACGTTTGCAACTGCTGGTTTTCCGTTGGAAAGTCCAAGAAACTCGATTCCATCATCAACTTTTTGGAAGCTTTAGTTCCAGACGTCTGGATTTGAATGGAGACTGTATAAAAATGTATAACTAATTACTGTGATAGAGCGAAATCTCGTCAATAACTCAAAAGGATAAAAGACAAAGTTCTCGGCATTGACCAATTCCTGAGTTATGCGCTATGCATTCAACCTCATTAAGAACCATCGGAGGTAATTAAATGTATATCTGGCCTTTACCATGGCTCACGGTGGCCTATCGATGTATCGAGCCAGTACTGGTATCCTTCCGAACAAGTCTGGTACAAATTTATCGACCCCGGAAGGATGGAAAGCTTGGTGGGCCATGAGCGCGTAGATCGATTCTACGTGTGTTGCAGAGCGCAACCGACCACTGCGCCATAATTAATCTATGAAGTGCTTAACTACTGAAACACTCCACTAATCAAGAACTAATCGTCCATTGGCGAAAAACCAGTTTGCTAGCGAATGTGTTAAAAGTTGTGCAAATCATATCTGATTGCCAAGAAGAACGAATATACGCGCTCTTGTCTTGCTATGAGGTGACGCCAACCTCTTGACTGCTTTCGAAATACCTTCAAAAACAAAAGCAACTGAAAAACAAGAACGTTTACTTTGCTGTCATGTCTTAGTTGCATGATCTATAAAGAAAGACAAATATTTATCCGTAAAATTAGACAATAATACGGACAATAGGTGAGAAGAGAGGTACGTACGTAGAAATCGCGCCTCTGAATCACTTCTTACCGGACTTCTTTATACCACCACCTACTGAAACAGACTACTTCAATCTAAAACAAACTACAGATTTTGAGCAACTAGAACTTACCCAGTGGTCCCTTCTGACTGGCTTTGGCCGCTATTTCAGCCAATTTTTTCTTTTCTTCCATCTGTTTCTTCTTGAACTCAATGTCATCCTAAAATAACGGCCCTCCACTCTCCACTTCTTCCTGAGCATTAAGAGCAAGAAAAATAGAAGAACTAGAATAGTAATATCAACTTTGAATTCTTACCTCATCAAGTTCTTTCTTGACTGCTTTAGGTTGCTTCAGAGGTTTCGCTTTGCCGCCTTGACGACCAGACATGATTGGCTGTAATCTACACTCTTGTTGTATTATCTGAATGAATGACATGATCATCGACAGACGGTCCGAGTCGTTCTGGATTGGGATAATTACATAACGTCTCGGACTCTGGACGATGTTCAGAATCCTTCTATGATCAACAGCGAATATGTGGTTCTTACACATAGTCAGCGACGCTACCCGACGGTTCTGGTTCTTCATCTTCGATCGTTTTATACTCTACCCGTTGATGAATCAGCTCTCGCAAACTTTCGGCACCAAATTCATGAATCTTGGTTACTGGCCAACAAAGGAATCTGCTACGGAGGACGAACAGACGCGAGCTCTCGTCGAGAGGTATTCTTCAGAAACAGGCAAGACTTACATCCGCTTAAAGATATCAAAGTTAAGTATACAAACATCTTCACAAATTCAGATTTGGATCGCCCACATTATTTCCTGTACGAACGAGCGCTCAAACTGCACAGCCACTACCCCGATCTAGAAGGACTGCGAATAGTGGACGTGGGATGCGGTCAGGGTGAAGGAATAAAATGGACTAAAAAGTTGTTCGGAACTGATCTTTCCCTCTATTGAGTAGGACCATTACAAATTTTAGAGTTCATCCAAAAATCGGATCGATACATGGCGTGGATAGATGTGCGGTACCAAATCCCGACATAATTCCCGGTGATGCGCATCATCTACCACACAGAAGTAGTCAAATTGATATAAGTAAGAAACACCATTTCTTTAGCAACAGTAAAGTGTAGTACTTTCTTTCCAACAGTACTAAATGTCGAGTCATCTCATCTCTACGCTGACAGCGAGCAATTTTTTCGCGAGTGCTCAAGAGTACTCCGGAAGGATGGATACCTTTGCTGGACCGACTTACTCTATAGATCTCAGGTCGGTTAAACAAATACGAATTTCGATGGTAAGGATTTCGATTCCCTGGTCACAAAAATAGTGAACGAGGACTAGATCTTTGTACACAAATCACACAAATTATCTGCAGATTCTGGAAAGAATTTAGGTCGCTGAAATTCGTGAACAGGCCCTTCGTGCAGGACTCTTCGAGGAACACTGGGAGGACATTACAGACAATATTTTGGAAGGAATAGAACGGACAGCCGCACGTTACGATAGCCTCCTTATGAAGGTGACCATTGTATGATTACAGAATTACTGCCATTGTGAACCTCAATTTTTAGGCGCCACCGTTAGTCCGATTGTTCTCTGCCTCGTTGAGAGCCACATACTGCGCACCGGGTACTCACACATATGCACGGATTTCAAGGGGAGAAAAAGGATACTATGCGGCACTATGGAGAAATAACGCATGAGAATAGAGTCATATGATACTTCCCTTCAATGAAAATTCTGTTTGACCTTGTTATAAACACAGACTCAACCATCCTGTTACACTTCTACCCACATGAATGAAGGCCTCCTTGCTCAATATTGGGGAGGATATCACTTGGATTAAGTCCATATAATGGACCAGAAATGCAATGTATTTCATAATCTACAACATTTCCACATAAAAGAATCAAAATACAGAATGAACTAAGCCTGAAGACCCACCACTTGTTAAAGTATTGATGCGAAAAATATAACATTGTCTTCATGAAGCTACAATCTGCCACATCTATTACAACAAACAAGTATTTATCAACTTTATCTCGGTTATCTCCGTAAGAAGCTTTCCAGACGACTGTCGGACATATCTTCTTGATACAAGACAAATAAGCTGTCAAAGTGCATCGTAACGCACATTACAAGAGTAAATAAAATAACATTAGGGGTGTTGAGGTCATGTGAAAATCAATCAGTGTGAATGACTACAATACGTTCGTCATGCATTGATGACACGTGCTAGTTTCTGAATCCGATTCAAAAGAATGTCTCCGTCTCTGCAAATAATGAACTAAATTAAGTTGGAAACACAAAGAAATGGGTATTCAAATCTAATAAGAAGACTAAATGGCTTTCTTTTCATAACGAATGTACTGAAAAAGAGACAGGAAACCTATAACTAGAACGCTATTAGGATAGCACAACAAAATGGATTTATCAGAAAGTTTCATTTTAAAATGACAGCTATCTCATTATTTCTATCCTTCCCTTTACTTAAAAAGATCTACAACAGAACACTAAATACGGTTCGCAAATGCGAACAAGCAGATATACGATATAAAAGTTGTTCCGCTCTTATGAACTGCCGGTAACAAGCCGACGGAAAGCTGTTAACACTTATCGGCGGTTCCTCCTTTACCAGAGCTAAGCTGAACATTAGTCATTGTAAATCACGATAAGTGTCAACCTTTCGTCAGCTCATAAATGATAGTTCAGAGGGATAAAATAACCACATACCATTGTCCAGGTTAATTGACAATCGTTCTTTTGAAGTATTTCTTACTTACTGTCTATTCGTTTTTCATGGCAGAGATACCTTCCTATGAAAAAAAAAACAGTTGTGTACTAAAGCTTCAGCTTAACTATGTTTTTTTTAACACCACCTGAAGGTGGTGTTAAAGGTTTTATAACACCTGAAGGTCAATAACACAGCTGAGAAACAGGTAAAACGAAGGATCCGCATGGTGTGGTGGTGAACGCGCCAAGCTCCTTAAAGGGTAATAGCGAGTTTGATTCACACAGCAAACAGCTGCAGTCCGAAGTTTTGCAAAAGTCATTCTTTTGATTTGACACGACATACAGTTGAAAACTAAAGACATTTCAAAAGCGCTAATAAAGAGAGAACGCTGACCTTGTGAGTATTTAAAATTTTGCAACTCGATATTCATATGACTACTACGAAGTACTACTTCAGCTACTATTATAAATGCGTATGAATTAACTTACTTTATGACGGATTTGTATAAGTAGTTCTTTGAGTCAGGATAGTTCATTTCGATTACACCGCGAACGGCGTCAATTCTGTAATAATCATCGCACATTAAAAAGTTTCCAAAAAACATTTTTGGTAGTCCAGTTCACCTGCAATGTAGTTGCCCAGCAGCAATGAGGCGGTGGAGCTCTTTGTCAATGAAACCACGAGATACACCAAAATCTTTGGCCATCATATCCATCCGCACCTAATCAAAAAACAGGTTATTTCAACCTCTTCGCTTGTTTCCAGTAGTACATGGAACTAAGCGGAGAATCCATATGACACTCGTTGACTATGTATAAGCTATTAATCTTTTGTAACCTGGTTTTCCCAGCCAAATAGCGGTTCTAGCTACAATTCATATCCGCCGTCTTATCGAACTTGTGAATCAAACACATACCATCGTGATAAGTTATCAATGAGTAATGGTACTCTCTAGTGATACTTAGAGCCGAATTCCTAATTTTCAGCGGTACGCGCGTATTTTCCTCAAGTATTTCAGTGGATCTCATTCACTGTAGGATCTTCAAATAGTTATTCGCGAGTTTATGTAGCACACCTTCGATAGGTGGACAGAGGATTAAACACTGAACAACGGCGTCATTGTGCTTCCCTGAAACAGAGATGGATCCATGAGATACGATAACTTTTCCGTTGCATCGGTTGCCAATATAGCTTTCCTAATTATGTAAATAGAGGGCGGATAGCACTGTGGTAGTGATGCCAACCATCATTAGAATGGTAGCGGTTAAATCCTGCTCAAGGCTCATCAAACCTTTCACCCTCTGGAGTCGGAGAATTGGTACCGGATTTGTCCGAGGAAAAAATCACTACAAACAAATTGGTAACGCTCGGCTATCTCACTCCTACAGTGAGAATCGACTCGACCAGCATTCTATGACATTCAAGATGAAGTGCTCAAGCAGCAGCGAAGCTACAAGTAAAAATTGAAAGACCTTTGTGGACAATGGATGGGACGAAAAGAATCGAATGTGAGAAGTACTGCAATCCGCACAATGGATTTGAGAACGGGTCGTATAGAATAAGAAAATAAAAATTTATGTAAGCATGTTCTTGCATGCATACATGTGTATTACCGAATAATCAGATCGTATTCTACAAGGCAATTCAGTCAAAAGCGCACATCGATATGAAGTGAATGCTTTGACAATATGGGTTCATTTTACAAGAACTATGTATTAACTATAAGCAAGCTGAAAGAAGACTTACCCTGTTGGAAAAACCTACACATTATACTGATTTCTACTTCAAGTAATAAAGCTCACTATGAATTATGCCTGCTTGAAATCGAAAGGCGCGGAAATGTTCGTCCACATAGGGGTGGAGGTTACTTCATACTGGCTTCTCTGCCGCGCACCGCACAATTGAGAACGAATCAACGCTCATCAACAATCAGCCATGAGTGTTAAATAATTCCCACATGTGTTTGCTTTTATTTACTGCCAATTACAACTTTCACGGCAGAGTATTATGCGAAATCAACCACAACCAATATCAACATCGTTGTGCTTAATTTCGCATAATACCCTGGAGTGAAAATTATAGTAGGGAGTAAATAAAAAAATAACCATTGTGATTCGACTGCAGCCTCAGCTTAACTGGGCTCAATGCCGATGTGGGCTCCCCAGATCAATCCCGTTGACGGGTGATTGCTGATGGCACTGGTAGATAGAAAAACCAGCTGAGAGAAACGCAGAGCTAGGGCCTCCTTGGCGTAGTGTGTAATGTGCGAGCTCCCGAAAACGGAAATCGTGGTAGGATCTGGTCCGAGCTCCACGCATTGCGAATATCTCAGCATCGTTGTGGTTGAATTCCCATGTGTTTAGATCTCTCTAGAATATTAGAGCCAAACATCAAATGAAAGCACTCACAGTTTTGTATGGAGTAAGGAATTGTTCGTATGCGCGCAATCTCATACCACGTGAGTAGTAGTTAAAGTGAGGAGCTAGGTACCGGTCGAATTTAAACTGAAACATAACGACCTTAGAAAAGAATTAAACGAAGTAACAGCAAAAATTCACTCGTTCGCTCTCAAGAGCTGCCAATTGGATGAAAAAGCGATCATAATGGCACCCATAGTAAGCCTCAAGATATTCTCGAACAGGTATTAACGCTCCGTGCGTCCCACCTCCTGTAAGCTGAGAAAAAAGGAAGAAAAACATTAAAGAATAGAGCTAAAAAGTACTGCACAAACCTGCTCCTGAATTTCATTACATCTTATCACTTTGGTTCTCAGATCTGGACGACCAAGAGCTAAAAGGCAAAAGTTAAGTGATTGTGAACAAACAAAAGTAAATAGAAATAAACATGAACATACAAACCGAATAGAGATGTTATTACGGCGTAGAACACAAGATTCTCATAGGTCATCAATTCATAGGATCCAAATGTGGGAACGGCTTCGAGGAAAAGGTGAGCAGCTCCATTAAAGTCTCTCACTGACATCTTATACAGCGCTTCATAGGATCGAAGACGGTTTTTTCTCTCCCAATCGCCTCCCTGTATTGGATATGTTAACATGAAGAGAAAGGAAAACAGTAGCCTTTAGAAAAAGAAAGAAAAAAACTTTAGAACAAATTCTATTAAGGACGAGCAAAGACCTGAAACATTTGCTTGACGCTAGCCTGTAACAGTAAGAGAGCTACGTACAACGGCACTACCCAAGAGGCTAATTCAAACCTGTTCCATTAACTCCTTAGCTTTGGTGATGTGCTGATTGATTAAACTATGATCAAGGAAAAACAATCCTACACGAATCATATTAAACACGAGATCAATGCGGTAGCCCATACCAACTGTTTTGTCGTAGGTGGACTGGAAAGAGCATTTTTTCATATTCAGATGAAATTTGTGCTCATAAAGACTTTAAATGACCACCGTGAAAGTCTTGCACACATTCTCCTTATCCCCAATTTGACAATAGTACTCGAATTTTTTCAACCAAGCCTGACGAACTTCGGTACCACCTAAACAGAATTCCGGTAATTAAGAGGTGACCAGTAACCACTTAAACAATAAAAAACAGCGAGCGCAAAAAAAAGACTCTGTAGGAATACGTGGAGACTTTGTGTTTGCAAGATTTCCACTGCTCCAAAACGACGGAAATCGTTCTAACCATAAGATCGGAAAACAAACTAGTATCGCCCAATAGATACAGGAGAAGTCGTACGAGGAAACAACGTTTAAGAGGAAATGAGCTTCCTGGGAAACAACTCTGTGATAAAGATAAGCGTGCTTCGCTCCATCAAAGATGGATTTTCCATCAATACCGAGCGGTTCATGGGAACAGAGTTTGTGACTAGATCTTCTGGCTGCAACTCACTGTATGCTAAAGGAAGACCCTCTAAAAAGAGAACACTGTCTTGTATGTTAGAAATGTACCTACCCAGCTGCACGAGATATCCCAGGGAGAGGAACCGCAGGGATTAAAGTGGCTGACATTGTCATTTATAAAATGAATTACTTTGATGGACATTTCACTTGAAACTGAATTCTCCCTTTTTCCCTCTCTTTCTCACTTGGAAAATTTAGCACCGATTGCGCTAATCATGAAGAGGGGGCACAAAAATAGTGAAATAAGCCAATAATGAAACAGAGTGCAACGAAATACAAACCAAGATTTTTCTCCGCATCTTCAATTTCGGCATCGATTTCTTTTATGCGTTTGGAATTCGTTTCCTTCATCTTAGCGAGCAGCGACTGGTCCACCGGAATGCCAACCTCTCCGCAGATCAGCTCGTACAAAGGAGCCATATTATTTTCTTTTATTGCCTGTAATGAAGGAACTCAGTACCAAACCATGAAACTGTTACTACAAAGAGGTTGACCTACGGCTTGAAACTGATCGAGCTTCTGCTTTTTAACGTCTTTATCGAGATCAGGATGGTTAACCAGAAAGCGGAGTTGAGCTAACTCCATATCTGGATGCTTCGAAATCACCTACAAATACCTTAATAAAGGCATACAAAAAATACATGATAAAACAAAACGGATGCTGTAAAGAAATTACAAGTGCTCCACCTCCTTATCATAGTTGCCCTCTCCTTCTACCTTGGTAGCTGAATTCTCTGCCATGGTTTTAAAACCTGAGTTAGCAATACGACACTCGCTTTCAAACTTATTTAAAATAAACATGACATAGAAGAATAAAGTATGATATTTTTGAAAACAACAACGACAAAAGGATAAAGCTCCCGATGTTGATTAATCCCAGAGGGATGCGCCATGCTTTCAATTTCACTAAGCATCGTTTGGATGTGATTGAATACATATTTGGCCTTAACAATGACTCGCGGTGGACCATCGATGTATCGAGCCAGTGTTGCTACCCTCTCAGACAAGTTTGGTACCATAAGAACAAACAATGAAATTGCAGGACAAACATCAAAGAAATGCAAGTCTAAGATCATGGACTCTCTTAAAGAAAAGGAGAACCTCCTGCAAAATGGTGGTAAACGCGAGTTCACCATGATGACAATTTAGTCGTGAATCTGTAAGCACGGACAGTGCTGCTAGTTTATTCCGGCGAGACTGAGTTACTTGGGTACTCGGATGGCCCGCCTTCACTTGTTGTGCGGGTCTCAGCATAATTTGCACTTTTTCGGCGTTTTGTTAATTTAGCTACTGTGTTTACCTGGAGTCCTGTGGTCAGCCAAGCCAAAGTCTGCTCCAGGTCGTCACCACCACAAGCAGTTACCACTCTTGTGAATCAGAGGGAGATTTGCCACCATGTAACTATCTTGATACCAGGACCGTGACAGATCCTGGTCTGGGTTTACTCTTAGCTAGGCTTCCTGATGGGAACGCCGGACTCCTTCTCAGCTTGGGAGACTCCGCCGAGGGATGAATGCCCTCGCCGTACATCACAGTCCGACAGCCAGGAACACCTAGCCACGATAAGGCGGTAAACGTACTAACTAATACTGGTTAAAATCTGGCTAAGACTCTGGACACGTCCTTTTGGGGGTGATGATGTTAGTGCAGAATTGTTTTAATATCTAGGAGGAATAGATTAAAATTTGGCTACAAGCTCTGTTGAGAAAAGCATGTAGATGTTTAAAAAGACATGATTATCTATGTTTAGTTGTTCATAACATATTTGTGGCGACGCCCCATTTTGAATGGCACGCGTATGGACCGACGCCGTTTCGAACCCATTCGCGGTGAGTCATATGTGACACATTTCGGCTGAAGTGCCCCTCCACATTTCACCGCCTTCTTTGTTGTGGTCTTCGTGTTTTGTATAGCATACACATCTTCGATATACTTTTGTTTTTTATGCCTTTGAGAACATATCGAACTGATGAATTAAAACTCGTCCACCATCCATCACACTGCTGTCCTCATTTGGTAATGTTGTAGGTGGTACAAAATGTATATTTCGGTATTTTATCTGCTTTTATATCCGCGAATCTCATGTGGTAAATTTGTGTGATCACATCGATTGGGAATGGAAGAACAATCAATTGGTTGAACTCAAAGATTGAATTGTATGGGCTTGAATCACGGCGGCGGTTGAGGAATAAGGCTTAATTTCCGAATTGCTGCACATCAGTGTTGAATTGATAGCATTTACTATGGTACTTGTCGATAAAGAATTTGAAATCCATTGTAAGAAGCAGCGAATATGGACAAGAGAAGATAAGTCGTAGGAACCAAAAACTGTTTAAGGGACAGGAAGATTCGTTGGTCTGTGCTTTTTGCTTGTTTTCTAGAGATAGGTTTGAGAAGCTGTTAAATTACCTCCATTTGTTAGGTAATATAATACGGTAAGAAAGAGAAAGAGCCTAGAAGTTCGCTGGTCCAGCTTGTCATCAGGAATTCAATGAGAGCTCACAGACAGAAAAAGTGTCCTTATTGACGGGTCTTTGGTGGTATTTGTATGGATAGTAGTGTTTCACCAGTATATCTCGCGTAAAATAAAGTATAAAGAGTAAAGCTCTCGGCTTTGATCAATGCATGAGGGATGCGCAATGCATTTGACTTCATTAGGGATCGTCGGAGTTGAATGAATGCGTATCTGGCCTTTACAATGACTCGTGGTGGCCTACCGATGTGTCGGGCCAGTGCTGCTATCCTCCCAGATAAGTCTGATACCAATTTGCTGACCCCGTAGGGATGGAGGGCTTCGTGAGTCTGGGGCGCGGGGATCGATCCCATGTGTGCTATAGGGCGTCTCCGACCACTGCGCTACACGCTCCTTTTTTACACATATCTTACTTGATACTTGATACTCGAACGGCCCGTCATCACTAGTCGTGCGAGCCCCAGCACAATCACCATTTTTCGGAGATTTGCTGGTTAAGCCATTGTGGTTCCCTGGAATCCCGACTACAGCCTAGCCAAAGTATGTTCCAGGTCGCCACCAGGATAGGCAGCCGCAGCCCTTGTCGACTAGAGCGGGATTTGCCACCATGCGACTTTGATACCAGGATGGTGGTGGGACCTGGTATTGGTTTAGTTTTAGTTAGGCTTCCTAATGGAAACGCCGAACCCCTCAGCTTGGAAGAGACCCTGCCAGGGAGACGAATCCCCGCTGTACATTGCAGTCCGACACCCAGGAACACCTCCCAGCCACGATGAGGGGGTAAACCGTTGGTGGGTTACACATATCTAATAATACATATCTCGCATAATAGAGCATATATCTCGTATGAAGCACAAAAATGCCATTAAACTTCCAAAGTCTGTGCAAAAGGTAGATAGAGATCCAAAGTTCTGGCGCGTACCATTATACTTCAAGGAAGGGTACGGCGTTTGAATCAGTGATGACAAGTCTCGTATACGGTTTACTGGATGAATGTGTATACCTTTATACATGTCATTGTTACACAAATCACTTAAAGGGACCATTGTCTACCTCGTAGAGAACATTCTCTATTTTTTAATACTATACTGTTTTCTACGTCATTCGAATACTTGGATACTCGGATGGCTCGTCCTCACTGATCGTGCAGGCCCTAGCATAATTTCTACTTTCTCGGAGTTTTTCTGGTTTAGCCATCGTGGCTCCCTGAAGTTCCGAGTTTAGCAGAGCCAAAGTCTGCCCCAGGTCGTCACCACCACAAGCAATCGTCGTGGGTCCCAGGAGGGTTTGCCACCATGCGACTAGTTTGATAGCAGGATGGTGGTGGATGCTGGACTGGCTTACTCTTAGCTGGGCTTCCTAATGGAAACGGCGAACGTTATTCGCGTAATTTTTCACAAAGTCAGATCCCACAAAAGTGTTGTGTGACTATTCCCAAGATGTTGAGCATTTTATATTGAGCTGGGTAATACAACTGTAGCTGCATTGGCCTCGCGCGTACTCTGTACTGAATCAACTAATGCCAGTGGTACACTTGTAGACTCGACGATCATTCTATGCTGAACTGACGACCTAATCTCCCACTTGCTCAAAAATTGCTTAAAATGAAAACCCACCATACTGGAACTTATGGGGGAAAATCGAGCTGGTCATGCAAAGAAGTTATCCACCAATCAGAACATTAGCAAACGGCACATGCATTCCTGCTGTTCTATGACTTAATTACATGGAGTTCCCTTTTCAATAGTTCGGATGTATTCTCCTTACACATTAATACTGTTAACTGTAAACTTTGCAGAGTTTTAAAGATTGTAGTTGTAAGTCAGTTGTTTGCAAAAAGTGTACATTGAAGATATTGCGAGATATGATGGTTATAGCGTGCATAAAAGACAAAAAAGATGGACTCTTGGCGTTGAGAAACCCCTGAGAGATGCGCAATGTATTCGCTTCATCAAGCTTTGCAGATGTGGTTGGCTGATATCTGGCACATACAATGACTTACAGGGGCTATCGATGTATCGAGTTAGTACTGTCATCCTCCCAGACAGGTCTGGTTCCACTTTACCGGAGTCGGAGAGATGGAAGGCTTGGCGAGCGTGGGGTGCGGGATTGAACCTATGTGCACTGCAAGGCACCTCTAACCACTGAGCCATACGCGCCCTTCAGAGTGCATAAAAAGAGAATTTTGAAACTTCTGGATTGTTAAGTATATATTCTTGAGTACAACGTTTGAAACATCAGTAAAGGTTATGAGAATTACTTGTATCACCTGTCGTGACCTCAAAGAATATGTGGTATTCTATAAAGAACTTCTCGAAGTTCATAGGAAACGCTTCGACTTCTTCCTCACAGGTTGATGCGGATGCTTAGACGACAAAGATTACAAAAATCGGTATTGGTCCAAATCTCTTCAACCGTAAATATCCAACTCGAGTGTTGGTTGTTCGAAGGAATCGATGTTCACAACCTAAGTCGTGTCAACGAGAACGCTGACGACGCTGACTCCATTAGTGTCGCATGTTTAGAGGAACAGCTCTTCTCCAGCGTTAAAGACGGCGTTGAATAGGTGGCGTCGTCTCGTCTCGGCCTGTCCGATGACGTCGTACCTTATCCTTCGTGCCTGTATGATGAAATCCTATATAGAGGACACATGCAAATGAGCGTTTATTGTCACCTGGGATTTTAGCACCCTCTCCGTACCCGTCCTACCGAAGACTACCGTATCGAGAGCTCTGTCGGAGCCAGATGAATGGAGCCCTTTTATTTTACTATACTAAGCTTTTTAATAGCAACGTATATCATGCTGAGCTCCGAACGTGGAGGCTGGGTATACCCACGAATAGCTTGCCACTCTCTCCTCCTAGAGTAGGCAGACAGCTTATTTGCGGGGCACAACTCTTGACCGCCTCCGATATGCTTCGCTTTCACTTTTTTGGAGGCTTTCGAACTGAACTGACTCGTAGAATACAATCCCCATAAACGAGAACACACCCACACACGCATGCATGAATATGCATCGTAAATGCAGAAGGTAAAAATTAAATTGGCGCATGCAGAAAAAGGGAGCCCGTCCTCTGGATCCACCTGCGCCTCAGTGGAGCGTGAGGTCGCT